ATCTGCTGCCTCGGCGAAAGGCGTATAGGGCGCAAACTAAAGCGGCGCGCGCGGGAGAGTCAAAAGGGTATTTAAGCTAGCGAGCGGAAAGCCCGGGACTCTCCTTCGAGCAGTATACCGAAAAAGATAGTTGATTTTGTATACGGGAGTCTTTCGTAATAAATAACAGTCTTTGTCTTCAAGTGAATATTTTGTTGAGTGACTTTCAAACACCTTTCTCGAACCTTCGTACTTTCCGCGCTTTCTAAGAACAGTTGAAACTTTTAACGGTCATCCGTAATTAAATTCTTCTTTTAATAATCTCGATTTCTTACAACTTCAGAAGTGGGATACGTGCGGAGTATCCTTCGAGACACGGGTGTTTCTTTGGAATAAATAAGAACAGTTTTTGTCTTAAAACAGAGTGTCGATTTATTCGCTCGATTAGAATCGTGTATGCGGACACGCGCGCGAATTACAATGGACAGAGCCGCTCTGGAAAACCTCACGATGGAGGAGCTTCGCGAGGAAGCAGATAAATACGCTCTCCCGACAACGGGAGGCCGTAGCCACTTGGTGGACTCAATTATGAGTCATCTAGAGCGGCACGGGCCGGTCAAGGAGTTGGCTCAGCTAGCAGCACCTCCAAGCAGGCCCCAGAATAAAAAGGCGGCACCGGCTAGGGCCGCAGGGTCGTCAGAAACTTCGGCGACGGCCACAGAGTCTCTGGAAATGACAGAAATGATGAGACAGATGCTGGTGTCTATCCAGCAGCAGCAACAGCAGCAGCAGCAGCAGCAGCAACAATTGAACATGCTACTTAACTTAGTGATGGAGCAGCGACGAGAGCCCGCCGCTGTCCCGGTTCTGCCACTAGATGCGGAGTCTGTCTCTCCGCCGGGTCCTTCTAGGGCCCCGAGAGTGTCACCGACGGACGACGTGGACCGTCGGACGGCGGAGTCCTGGACACCGACAGGTTCAATCCAGGCACTGGCTTCACAAATCCCGGAATTCGCGGGCCAAGAGGATGATAACGTGCACGCGTGGGTCCGACGGGTGGACAAAGTCGCCCAGGTCCACAGCGTCTCAGACGGGGCGATTCTCTTAGCAGCCTCCAGCCGCCTCACCAAATCGGCTCGCCGGTGGTACGACGTGCAGGGAGACGCCGCGGTGGAATCCTGGAGCGGCCTGCGAACAGAGTTAGTTAAGATTTTCGACCGGAAAATTCCGTTCTTTCGTGTAATGCAGAAAATAGAGGCACGAAAATGGCTTCCTGCAAAGGAAACCTTCGACGATTATGCCATAGAAAAACTGGCAATGCTGCATCGAGTGGACCTTCCCGAAGCGGACAAGGTACATCTGCTGGTGAGCGGAATCACCATCACCACTTTGAAGGCGACCGCGCTGTCACTATCGGAGGACACGGTGGACGGCTTCCTGGAGAGGATGCGGCGTATCACTCAGGGCGCCTCCGAGTGGGACCGGAAACCAGCGCAGCAGGGTCAGTCCAGCAAGGGAGGCAAGGAGTCAGCCTGCAGAAATTGTGGTAAAAGAGGGCATTCCCACAAGGACTGTAAAGGTGAGACCACTTGTTTCTATTGTAAAGAGAAGGGGCATCGTCGGTTTGATTGCCCCGCATTAAAGAAAAAGGAGTCGAAGGCGGCGACCAGGGCGCAGCCTGCATCGGGAATCACGGCAGCCAGCGTGACCGCGGATGAGGTAGCATCCGATTTCGTGGCGGCAACACAGGAAGCGTGCAAGTCGACCGTCGACGATCCGTTGATTTCTATAAACGAAATTTTAGGAAATTCATGCGACTTGTTAGGACTTATAGATACGGGTAGCCCGGTTTCGCTAGTAAAAAATAGCGTATATGAAAAATTTATTGCGCCATTTTGCGTTCTCAAATCGGTTGAGACAAATTTACGGAATCTATCGAACGTCCCGTTGAAAATACTCGGGTCGGTGGATGTTCAGATAACTTTGAAAAAAATTAGCGACAAAACATTTTCAATACGGTTATATGTTTTGCACTCCGACGCGTTCAAGGGCGACATTATACTTGGGAGAGAATTTTTGTCGAAAAACAATATCACTTTAATATACGAACCGGCGGCGCAAGGTGAACATGACCGAATAAACATGTTTGCGAATTTGCCTTTGTATATTGACGAGGACTTGAGTTTAAAACAAATACTCGAGGAACATGAAATAGACTTCGGGCGCGAAACAAAAATAAAGTTACAAAAAATTATTTTAGAGATACAAGAACAGGACACGTCACCTGTAAACGACGACTTCTCAGTGCACGTACATTTGAGAGATCCGTCGATCTATGCGTTCGCACCCAGGCGCTTCGCGAATGTAGAGCGAACGCAGATCCGGCAAATCACAGACGACCTCCTAGAGCGAGGTATTATTAGGCCGAGCGTCTCGCCTTATTGCGCGCGGGTCGTACCTGTGAAAAAGAAAAATGGTAAGATGCGTTTGTGTGTTGATCTGCGACCGTTGAACAATCGCGTGGTCAAGCAAAAGTATCCGTTTCCGGTAATCGAAGAATGCTTATCGCGATTGAGTGGAAGTCGCGTTTTTTCATTATTGGACTTAAAAGATAGTTTTCATCAAATCAGAGTCCATGAAGACTCCATGAAGTACTTTTCATTCGCGACCCCGGACGGTCAATTCGAGTTTACCCGGTTGCCATTCGGTTATTGCGAGGCACCGGCCGAATTTCAGAAAAGACTAATTAGCATCCTTAATTCGTTAATCAGGGAGAACAAGGTAATAGTCTATATAGACGACGTGCTAATACAGTCTGTAACAATAGAGCAAAATCTGGACACACTAAAAGAAGTTCTCGTTATATTGAAAACGCACGGTTTCGAGCTAAATTTCGGAAAATGTAAATTTTTAAGGAAGAAGATAGAATTTTTGGGATACATAATAAACGCGGACGGGATTACATTAAGCCCCCGCCACGTGGACGCGATCACAGGATATAAAGAACCGTCCGACAAATTAAAATTACAACGTTTTCTGGGACTCGCGAGTTACTTCCGAAAATTTGTTAAAGATTTCGCGCTGAAAGCTAAACCACTACAGAATCTTTTGAAAAAAGACGTTGTATATAATTTTGACGAACGTTGCGCGCAAGCATTCGAAATTTTGAAAAAAGAACTGACCTCCACTCCGTTGCTGAGACTGTACGATCCGGCGGCCGAAACCCAGTTACACACAGACGCATGTTGCTTAGGGTTCGGAGCGATCCTTCTCCAGCGACGCGATAATTCCTGGGGTCCGGTTGCGTATTTTAGTCAAGGCACGAACGCAGCGGAGAGCAGGTATCACAGCTACGAGCTGGAAATGTTAGCAATCGTTAAATCAGTTGAGCGGTTTCACATATACTTATATGGCACGCGGTTCACAATTGTAACAGATTGTAACGCAGTAGTATATGCCGTAAATAAGGCAAACCTAAATCCGCGAATAGCGCGATGGACTCTCGCGCTGCAAAATTACTCGTTCGACATCATACATCGTCCAGGTAGTCGCATGGCACATGTAGACGCGCTTAGTCGAAGCGTCGCGCACATAGACGAACTTCCGCTGGAGAGACGCCTTGAGTTCCTTCAGCTTGCGGATTCGAATATCCTAGAAATTAGTAAAACGTTAGAACTAGAGCATAATGATAAATTCGCATTAGTAGACGGATTGGTTTATAAGAAAATCGATAACGAACTGAAATTTGTAATTCCGGAGTCGATGATATCCAATATAATGAGAATTTATCATGACGAAATGGCTCATTGCGGAGTAGAAAAAACAGTAAACGGAATCTTAAAAAACTATTGGTTTCCCACCATGAGGAAAGCGCGTAAAAGAACACATAGACAATTGTCTTACCTGTCTTACAGCCAATAACGCGCTTAACAGGTTCGAAAGGGAAACTCAACTGCATCCTTTGCCCAAGGTTCCGTTAAATACGTTGCATGTAGACCACTTCGGTCCACTGCAGGAAACTGTAGAAAAATACAAATATATTTTAGTAGTGATAGACGCTTTCACCAGATTCACCTGGTTGTTTCCTAACAAAACAACCAGTAGTAGAGAAACAATTACGTGCTTAGAAAATATTTTCACAAGTTTTGGTAATCCTATGGAAGTAATATCGGATAGAGGAACCACCTTTACCTCTAAAGAATTCATAGAGTTATTATCGGACAAAGGTATCAAGCACCGTAAGGTGGCCGTAGCAGCACCCTGGGCAAATGGCACAGTTGAAAGGGTGAACAGGTTCTTAAAATCATCGCTAACCAAGCTCATCGATGCGCCAGATGAGTGGAAAAATTATTTAGGGAAAATGCAATACGTGATCAATAATACGTACCACGCTGTGACTAAATCAAGTCCAGCAAAACTAATGTTAGGTTTTGACCAACGCAGCCATTCGGATCACTCTCTAGCCAATTTCACCAAGGCCCTTGTCACCGTCGATGAGGACCTAGAAAAAGAGAGAGATATTAATAGAGACAATGCTTCACGAGCAACAGATCTTGTAAGAGCGTACAATAAAGAATACAAGGATACTCACAGTATCAAGCCAACGCGATATAAACCAGGGGAGTACGTTTTGATAAGGGACACTGCCCCCAAAATAGGTACGAGCTCAAAGCTCAAACCAAATTATAAGGGGCCTTACCTTATCGCAAAAAGTCTGGGCAATAGTCGCTATGTCGTCAAGGACATCCCAGGCTTTAATATTAAGCAGAAACCCTGGATACGATCCTTTCCGCAGATAGAATAAAACCTTGGATTAAAATAGGGAAAAAAGAGACCGATTAATAGGTAGTCGCCAAGGTAAATAATCTGTAGTGTATAGTCTAATGTTAATAAGTGTAATGAAAAAAAAAAAATTTTTATTAATGTAATACATACCTGCGTGAAATAAATAGAATACGTACCTGTTAAATGAAAGCGGTACTACTAATACGAAAAAAAAAAAAAAAAAAAAAAAAAAAATTCTCAAAATTTAATATCGATATAGTTTGCAATCGATGGCCGGGGAGAAACGATTAATCGAATCGAATCGATGTCAATTCGACATCGATTTAAACGACATTGTCCCCCATAACTTGCCCTCGGGATAAGCGTATTAACACGCAAACTAAAAGCGGCGCGCGCGGGAGATTCAGCACTGGTATTAAGCTAGCGAGGCGGAAAGGCGGCGACTGTCTTCGAGCAGTATACGCGAAACAACAGGAGCATGCAGATATCGTGTGTTGCCGGAGTGCTTCAACTCGCCATACGGAATAAGGAAAAGAATTTATCTTCAAGTGAATATTTGTTGAGTGACTTTAACTTTCTCGAACCTTCGTACTTTCCGCGCTTTTAAGAATATTGAAACTTTTAATCATCCGTAATAAATTTTCTTTTAATAATATCGATTTCTTACAGATTTTTAATATTAAAAAATGTAAAATAATTGAATTAAATATGTGTTATAACTTTTTTCAAGAATATTTCTTTAAGATATATTAAAGAATATTTTTCAAAGATATTTTTAATTGAATTGTGCATTTAAAAAATATCATGCATTCGAAATTGCAAAAGCAATGATCTAAGTCTCTTATATATATTTCTTTTATTAGACATTAAAAGTGGGTCTTGTATATTAAAACAAAATTTTTGTAAATATTGCATTTTGTATCAAATAATTTTATATATATACATACTATTTACGCTGTTTATTACGTGTACTAATGTGTTGAATTAAATATAAATAGCTCACTTCGCGAAATATGCTGAGAGCATTCCTGATGGCGAGACGAGTACGACTTTATCCGAGGCGGCGAGAAAACACAATATTTACCTGATTGCTGGTACGATTCCTGAGAGAGATAACGACAAATTGTACAATACCTGTACTGTATGGGCACCTGATGGAAAGCTCGTGATCAAGCACAGAAAGGTAAAGATAATAAATATTAAACAGGCATGTGTATGTATCTGTCCATACAGAAATAAATGTTCCAATAAATATTTTTAATAAAATATTTAATTTATATAATTTAATATTTATTATTATTTATATGTGTTTAATATTTAATTATTTATTATTTATTTTAATATTTTTTTTATTTATTTTATTTAATATTTAATTATTATATTTTATTTTTCATCAATTATTCTACATTTCTAAATATTAAAAAAATAGTTTTCTTCAAAAAATTTTACTTACATATTTTATATGTATATATATATATATATATATATATATATTTTTTTTTTTAAGAGAAATGCTACCATATATGTTCCGAAGTAAAATGCGCACTTTCTCGTTTACAGATGCATTTATTCGACATCGACATTAAAGGAAAAATCACTTTCCGCGAGAGCGATTCGCTGTCGCCCGGCAATTCCCTTACGACCTTTGAAGCGAAAGGCTGCAAGATCGGTATCGGCATTTGTTACGACATCAGATTCGAGGAAATGGCACGTCTATATAGAAACAAAGGTGAAACAACAATATTCTACGAAAAATATTGAAGTTTCATTCGTTGTAAAAAAAAAACGCGACAGAATTTAACGAGATTTTCACCACTTACTGATGTTCAAAGCTGTGGTTTAATCAGTCTTGAAAAAAAAAGATCATTGAGTTACACGATAAATACGTTATAGCGCGCTATCGTTAATTACAGATAACTTCGTTAAATGATTGTCGACGTCTTTAATATATATTCTTTGTAATTTTCACGAGAAAAGAGAGATTGTATACTTGAAGCTTTTCCCCAAATAGCAAACGGACGTCATTAAACGTCAAAATGAGCGTCATTTTGACGCCTAATGATGCTTGCTACCCTGGGTAATTTTTTATATTATTCTTTATTATTCGCTATTTCTAAGTTTCGTGATACGATATCAGGTTGTCAGATGTTGATATATCCAGCGGCATTCAATATGACCACTGGTCCTCTGCATTGGTCGTTACTACAGCGTGCCAGAGCGAATGACAATCAATTATACGTAGCCTGCGTATCGCCGGCACGTGGTTCACCGCCAGGATACATCGCTTGGGGCCATACTCAGTTAACTAGCCCTTGGGGAGAAATCCTTCACGAGTTGGATGCCGACGAGGCCATGGTGGTCTCTGACATAGGTATAATAGATTAAATCCTGTCAAACTGGAACGTAATTTTGCACCTTACAATATTTTTATATTACAAATTTATATATTAAATATTTATTATATATTGAATTTATATATTAAATATTTATTATATATTGAATTTATATATTAATTATAATTATGCATATATTATTATTTATAATTATATTAATTAAAATTATATATTAATTTCTCTCTTAAGAAATATTACTGTATTGCATACTATTACAATTATAAAATATATATATAAATATTAATATATAAAATTATTAATATATTAAAATAATTAATATATAAAAATTAATATATAACTAGGAAATAATACTACATTGCATATACTATATATCGAAATAATGTATTGCCGCAGATCTGAAAGTCGTGGACGAGGTCAGAGCGCAAATCCCGACGTTCAGTCAACGACGTACAGATCTGTACGACACCATTTGGAAAGGAGAAGATTAGGAAGACGTTGTGACGTATGACGATACGTTTTTACGCGCCATTAAGCAATTTTGCACGACAAGCTGTAACGGCGGGCAATCTAAATTTTATACTCGGATACATCTTGTTGATAAAATTCTCGTATCGAGGTCACACATGGCACTAGAAGAGAGAAACACGCGACATGCAGTACACGTGTATGTTTCAGATAAGTATAATAATCACTTTCTGTGTGAATTTTATATTCTATCTGCACACGAGTGATTTTGTTATTGAACACCCTGTATATACGCGGAATATTAAGTTTATAAGCATTTTGAAATATACATTTTTTTGTGCAACTATTTTGAAGTGTAGATTAATTATTTATTGAACAATTGATGTGTGTGTATCAAAGAACTTATTGTTAACTTTATGTTAATTATTCGAGTCTGCAATTCGATTGTTTTTGCGAATTTTCAATTCGAATTATATTATTTTGAATCGAAAAATCAAAAGATAAATAATCGGAAATATTTGTCGAAATATTTTCATACTACATTTTATACATACGCAGAATATAATAAATTATACTAAACAATATTACATTACATTATATGAAATTATGCAATTATAAATTTGTACAAGCATTTAAAAGTTTTAAATCAATCGCGTGGGTTAAATTTTTAATTATAATAATTACGTAGAAATTTATAATTTTATAAACTCATGATATATGATCAAATTTCATCACTACCCTCTCGAGTCTCATTGTCTGAATGATGGAATTCAGAGCGCAGGCGGGATATATTTGACGCACTGGTGGGAGAGTTTTGGCGCATATGGGGGTGGGGTGTATTTGGCGCATGTGCATATAATTAAGATATACGTAATCTCATTCATACACTGAGACTCGAGGGAGGAGTAGTGACATAGTAGCGCTTCATATATTATATTAGTATTCCGCAAGATTATTATAATTATCAGGTCCATAATTATGTTAAAAAAAATCGAATCGTAGGATCGTAGTAAATAAAATAAAGCTCAATAATACATCAATTGTCTAACAAATAATTAATCTCTGTACGTTCTTTCTAAATAATTATATACACTGTATATTATTTCCTATATTAAATTATAATTATTTCTTATTATCGATGTACCTGCAAAAGGCGATATGTTTTCTTCGTCGATCGAGGAAAATCAAAGGAAGATTAAAATTGTTATTGTTATTATCGACCCGGGTCCATTTAATCATTTGGATTAAATTTTATTGTAATATGCATTCCGAATGATCATTCATACATAAAAGGCCCCTTGATTAGTACATGACATAATTACGATCGAAAGTAATTACATGTATTATAATAATATTAAAGCTATCGTCTAGCTATTTACATTTGAAATATATAATATGTATATATATACATATATACATACATACATATATATATATATATATATATATATATATATCTTATTTTTTTCTTTTGTAAATATTAGTTTAAAGTGTAAGCTTAGAGGAATTGGTCGAATAATTCTCTCCGCTGAATTAGAGTAGAGAGAAGAAGAGGAGAGCAAAAATATAATGACGAGATGCAAAAGAAAAGCACAACTACGTGTTTTTCGCCAGTTAATAAGACCTCGTTCTTCGAAATAGGACAATAAAATTATCAAACGTATTTGCTCTGCATCGTGATACAATTTTTACAGTATAACTTAAGCTCTATTACATCTGGCTCCGCAAAAATATAGTTAAGTTACAGAAGTTTTTTTGGTCAAAATATTTAGAAAGCGATATCAAAGTTTCACTTTCGCTATTCAATAAAAATATCTGGTAGATTTTTTTATTTTTAAGAAAGAAATTATATTGGAAACATTCGGGCCAGATATATTGAACAAATATGTATATATATGTGTTATACTATTAACTTAAACTTAAATTACAAACATAATCTCGAACATCTGTTTTATCTACTACTTGTTCTAACGATTCGCCGCTAAAAATCATTTTTATGAAAAAAACAAGAAAACTTTTACATTTCTACCATTCACTCCGGTATTCACGCTAATGCACAGGTTGATCCAAGCTCTTTTTTTGCTTCGAAAGGGATCCAAGCTCCCACGACAATCATCATCATCATAATCTGGCTCATATGTTATGGGTCAGTCGTACAACGCTGAGAATATCATTTGTAACGAGTTTGCATTCATTATTGAGAGCTCAATTGAGATATTTAACGTTTCAAATTGCTGCGAACGATTGAAAGATAGCTTGAATGTGCTATAAATACATGATAATACATGAACGGACGTCTCCTAACAGCGGAGAGACGTAGTATATATTAAACAAAGGATCGCGAAAATTGGGGTGTGAAATCTGCGAGAGAAATCTGCGCGAAACGAGAAATATATGATCTCTTTTTAAGCTTTTTCAACTTGGATGCGCCTCCGATCGTGAATAAGATTATTTGCAAATAGGTACCCTGTGTAATAAAGAGCGTAGCTTAATTAAATTCACGGATCACAATATATTCTTATCGCGTCATTCTGTGGCTTTTTTGTTTTTCGCGCATTCATAAAAATGGATCTTTATTGTATTAATAATTAAATGTCGTTGTGTGTAACACGTATATTCTGTGCGTGTATATTATACGCACGGAATATTAGGGCTCTAATGTAAATATTATTGAAAGAAATATGGCAACTCTTTTTTTTTATGTATATACGGCATAGAATTTTCGCATAATTAATCGATTAAATGTTAACAATATAAATGTAACATTAATTGGATATATCATTATTATTATTAATTAATTAATTAATTAATTATTACCGTCGTCATTTTTACGCAATATTAATATATATCTCGTTTCTCGTTCCTTTATAATTGAAAAGAAAGGTCTGCTTTTCGTTTTTAAGAAACATTCGCAGCATTATAAGCGATATAATCCAAAGGCAAGAACAACAGTAATGAAATACCGTAAAAATATATACATATGTATCACAGGCATGCAAGCATATATACGTGCGCAAATGTTGAAAATAGTGTCGCAATATGTCGGAAAAATTCGCGAACTTGTAAAATACATCAGCGTCACTCTCTTTAACGAGAAGTGACTTAGCACCATATGTTTATCATTAACATTCACATATTTCTCCGTAAAGAAAGCACGTTTGTGTACGTTATACTACTCGTGTGGCCCCATGTTGCTTGGATTTATCGCCGTTTACAATTAATTTCATATTAAAACTTAATTAATTCTTTTCATTAAATTGTCTTTGACGAGTCTTGTGAAAAAGATTGTAAAAAAAATGTTAACACGAAAAAAAATTCTACGGGCTCTAAAGCCGCGTTTACACCGATTTATTGTTATATCAATTGTCAGATTATTATTTTCGATATTAAATTTTCAGGTGTTAATAATTTTAGCTTTAGCTTCCTTATCGATCCAATTAGTCTGCGTGGGCGAAATCGAATTATCTTAATTATAATTCTAATAAATTGGCTTCTTATTACGTGAAAATCTAGGCGCTTATTGTAGACCACCGTCGCTCTGAAATATCGCGCGATCAGCAGAGTTAATTGATGGCTTGAGCGTTAATTGGTAACAAGAGTAATCGAGTGTCCAGCAATTTGCAGATTAAGATAGTACGTTATCGCAAAAACGTAGTAAAATCTCATTTCTTAAAATTTCAATAAGTTATATGTGATAATATCAAACGTTTACAAAACAACAAAATATTAAGTGCACGTAAAAATAGAAATTTCAACGAATAAATTAGCATATATTTCCTTAAATCTTCCACGTGCTTGATATATTTTTAATAATTTTACATGTAATAATGTATGCATGTATGCAAATATACCGATTTCTCATCATGCATGTTTATACACAAGTACTCTTAATCATATTTATGATCGATTTATATGAAAATTTCAGGCTATTTGTGGTGTTTCAGCATGTCGCGTGTCTTTATCATTATTATCGTAGTTGTAAAATAATAAGCAATCAAATAAACATCGGCTATCGTACAATTTATGCGTAGTATAACGCGTACACAAACGCAAGGATAATTTAAAAATCGATATTTTGACAAAATTGTAGGTGTAGGATAAACGGAATCATTAGACTCGATTTCTCCTTCAACGCGAATAAGAGCTTTCTCTCTCTCTCTCTCTCCGTGTGTGGAAAAAAAATTAAATGAAAAAAAGAAATGTCGAAGAGACACCGAGATCGTGAATTGAAAGAGCGAATAGCGAGATAGAGACGGGATTATTATTATTTATCATCGAGCTCTCTCCCTTTCTCTCTCTCGTTCTCGATTTTATTATGTATGCATATATATGTATTTCAATTCGCAAAGGCGACGTTCTTTTAAAAAGTGCCCGTTCACCGGCAAATTTGGCGCGAAGCAAAAACGAACGAACGGTGAAATCGATTTCAATTGGAGAGATTGAAACGAGTCTCGTTAACAAAGAGGGATATCACACATTCGACGGAGCCTTCGTTGACGACGAACCTTTATATATATGTATATATAATAGGTATAATAGGTGTCCCTGATGCGCACTAATCTCTCTTTCTAACACGTTTCGCGTCGTCACGTTTGCACGTGTTTCGCGATAACAATATGGAAAAATAAAAATTTCTCACCTTACGCATGCATATACATATATACGCGTGCGCGGTTTCAGTCAGCTTCAATTGTCCATCGAGAGTATCGAGGGTTCGTACTGATAAGTTTGATAACGACCCAGGTAGCAAAGGTACGTCATTTGACGTTTAATGACGTCAGTTTACTACTTGGAGACGCATCGTTCACTCGATTGCGATCGTCCTCAAGAATCGATATCGCTTAAATCGAGAGAGAGAGAGAGAGAGAGAGAGAAAGACAGATTCCGAATGTTAATTACAAGTCTCTGGTAAATGACAGCGGCTGACACTTTACAATAAATGTTCGGATTAGGTCAATAATAAAGCTACATATATTATTCCTTTATATTCGGACTAGATTTTGATACTCGTCGGCCGGATTCAATATCGAGTATTCCATCGTATTGAATTTAACAAGGCAGAAAAAATAAATTCGCTAAAAAAAAACACTAAAACTTTATCACTCACGTTTGTTTTAATAATGGTGATTTTTACGCCCGACAATTCCGAGGTTTTTAAATTTCGCTGTCAAAAAAGTTACGAAAAAAATATCCTGTTAATTGACATACGATCGTGCGAGAGATAACTATTATTCGCGTGTTATATCATTTATAAATTTTTCTCTTTCTCTCTCATTCATGAAAAAAAAAGATCAAATTCTCGGTTCATTTATTTCCCTTATTAATTATCCCAAGTAGCAAACCGACGTCGTTAAACGTCAAACTGACGTCATTAAACGTCAAAATGGTTTCTAATGACGACCGACATCAAAATGACGTTATTTTTGACGTCATTAAACGTTAAAATGATTTATGACGTCATTAAACGTCAAAATGATTTATGACGTCATTAAACATCAAAATGATTTATGACGTCATTAAACGTCAAAATGATGTCTAATGACGTCACGACGTTAAAATGATGTCTAATGACGTCATTAAACGTCAAAATGATTTCTAATAACGTCACGACGTCAAAATGACGTCCATTTTGCCATTTAATGACGTAATCGTGCGGGGGATGAGTCGATCAAACTCGTCTCCGGGAATCTCTGATTTCTCGTGCACAATCATCGTCATCGTATCTGTCGTCATCACCGTCGGATCACTGATATCACTAACAACGGACGAATTTTCCTGACGAGGGCGAGGTCTGCAAGGTTCGCGACGGATCTCCTCCACCTCGGGCCAGGTCGTGAGCACTAGGGCACCATCAGCAGCGCAAACAGTCCGAGGAAGAAGAGGACCATCGGATTCTGCTTCAGGTCCGTCGACGACGCCGCGGCGTAAACGTTGTACACGTCCGGGCCACTCCAGTCGTCGCTGTCGTCCAGGCACTCGAACTCGCAGCAGCGCTCGCCCACGCGGAACTTCTTGCATTTCTGCGGAAAACAATCGAGCGATCGAGGTGTATAGGTCAGCGTTTACGTGACCGCGAGAGTACTTTATAATTTCGCTAAACAATCAGATCAAAGTACACGTCTCTGCACGATATAGTACACTCGAGTATACCCGACATCATATTATAATATTTGTAATATAATATTCAGGGAAAAAATATATACAGAATTTTCTCTATTTTAAAAATCCGAGAAGTGATAAAAATGGTATAAATATGATTATATTAAATAGAGTTTATTATATATTATATTATAATTATATCATATATTATATTAAATTATATAATAGTATATATTATATTTGTATATTATGTATATTAAAAGAGCATGTCTGTAAAAATACATATGTACTCGAGTATAATCGATATAATTTATAATAATATAATATTAACGAGAAAGTACAGACAACTTTTCTATATTAAAAATCCGAGAAATGATAAAAATTGAATATTAAATTACATATTAATTTATACATTATTAATTACCTACTATTAATATACGATAATATATTATAATATATTATAATATATTTTTACATAAAATATAATAATATAATTTATAATAATATTAATGGAAAAAATACAAATTTCTATATTCCAAAAATCCAAAAATGATAAAAATTGAGAAGTAATTTTTGTTTCGAGTGGTATAATTACTTTCCAATTTAAAAATCGAATGATGTATATTAAACTAATGTTTTAATATTGTTTTCACACAAATACGAGATGAGATAAATAATATTTTGGTCAGCATTCAACGATGCGAAATAGAAAGATAGTCGAAATTTAAATTAGCGTGACATAAATCTCATCGATCGATCGAAAAAGAACCGCATAATATAATAATTTAAATTATATTAATTTATTCCATAAAAATGGAACATAAATAAATAAATTAATTAATTAATGAATTTTTAATAATTATTAAAATGTTTGATATAGCAAAAATGTATGAATACTTATAATGTAATACAATAATAATTCGGCAGATTTTAATATTCGGAACAATTGCCAGTTTCTTCCTAGTTTGACCTACATACATGCAGTAAGGACGTCCAAAAAATCAGTCAGCACACTCGTTCCCGCACTGCGACCTTCGAATGTAGAATCCATTCAAAATAGATTTCACATCGGTATTGGCAAGTGCATAAACGTTTCCGGGACGCGCGTCTCGTCGGGAACAAATTTCTCGCAAAATACCTGGGTTATTTGGCGCGCGACCTGAACTTGACTCGTGACAAGCGTCGCATTACCTAGATAGATACGACATTCTTGTCGATGCGGCGGATTTTATCGGATTTTATTGTGTTAAGTAAACACGTGGAGCAGCATTTATTATGACTTCCGCGTGGAAAAAATTAGGTTTAAACTCGCCGCACGCGAACAAACTTAAATAAAGTGCCGCACAAGCGCCTAAACGTTTTTTTTTTCAATATTATATAGCAAAAATAAACTTTGGTGCATCCAAGAAAAAATGAGAATTTTTTAAATATATTTTTATTTTATTACATATATTTAATTTTAATTTTTATACATTTTTATATATTTAATTTTTGATTTTTATATTTATACACCCAGGTAGCAAGTATACGTCATTTTAACGTTAGTTTGTTGCTCGGATATTTTTTATACATATATTTATATATTTCTTTCGTTTCTTTCGGTTTTGTTTTTTCAATTAGAGCGTTCAATTTCACACTGATGACGCGATGGATCTGTTAGAGAGAAAGAATGAAACGCTGATGCTTTAATTCGTATGCAGTTTGCAATTAACTCCAACGGCGCGATGTTATTATTTTCATGTAATTATCGACAATGTATAACACGCAACACATGCAACGTTCAAAGTGCGATTAAATGTATTTATTTATATACGCTAAAATAATACGTCATTAGCGATAGATTGTAATGGTCATTCAAAATAGCGTCCCATTGAGGGAATTTCGTTTGCATATTTAGTGCTTGCTATTTTAAGAGAAATGTAATCAATAAAATAAATTTATACGTTTTAAAATAAAATTTGATGATAGCCCGTTATCGTTTATTAATTGCTCCTTAAAAAGATAATAATAAGATCCACGAGCTTTTTAATTCTTTTAAGTATACATTTTCCATGAAAAAAAAAGAAGTAATATCACATTAAGGTATTCTTTGAATAAAAAATAAGTAAATTAGTATTTGAAAAGTAAAAAATAAATTATATAATTATTAAATTTACATGACATCTTATTTAGTTATGTGGATCATTTCGAATCGACATTTTTTTAATAGACCAAATAAATCTTACGCAATTTTACTTTAAGTTCTGTGTTTTGGAATCAGTAAAAAAATTAAGAATTTGCTCCCCTTTTTTTAATAAACACTGGAATTTCTTTGTATATTTAATATTTAAAAAAAAAATAAATGAAAAAAGTTTAATTATCCTCCCTCCTGGAAAAAATCCTGCGGACACCCGTGATGAAAGATAATCTATAAGATTATATTTATAAAGCGCGCATTGCTTATATAAGGAACACGCGTGACGCGATTTCAGCGGGATGACACTTAATTTCATCGCTTCCAGCATAATTAATTGCCCTTGTGCCGCATATTATCGTTATCATGCCGTTCATAACACGCTCCGTTCGTTGAATCATCTTTCTCTTTGCTCTGATTACTATATTTCTCCACCCTTCTTAATACGTCCAATTACGACACGTCGACATGTGAAATTGCATATGTATTTGTCCATAGATTAAATATATATGTATGTATATAAATCACAGCACACTAGCAAATTTTCGCGCGTGCATGTGCAAATTAATTTATTTTATTAAACTTGAACTTTTTCATTATATTGAAAGTTTTTCCCTCCCTTTTTTTCTCTTTAACGAGAATTAGCACTTAGCACACGAAACTCGATAAGAAATGAGAAAAATTTCTTGTCATCGAAAATTGTTCCATTTGAAAATATTAAAACTTGGAAAAGTAATTTTTAAAATAGTATTTTAAAGAGCAAAATCTATTTTTATATTCTTTGAACAATTTTCAAAATACAATACAATTTGCTTGCAAAAGCCGCATCTAATTAAAGATAAAGTTCTTATAAAAATATAAAGAAAAATAAGAATGTAGCCGAGATGTAAAGAAATTTTTGCCCTTTAAAACGTTATTTTAAAGATCGCTTTATAATAATAATTTTTTTTCGTCAAGTTTTATAACATTTTCAAGTTGAACAACTTTCAACGAGAAAAGAAGCGTTGCCCATTTTTTGTCAAGTGTGTATATTTATGACATTTATTTTTATGTATTGATTATTAATTAACTAATTATATAAAACTATCGTATATTTAACGAGGACGCAACTTTTTTATCAATGAAATTTGCTTTATAATAAAAAAATATATATTACATTAACTTTCTATCTGCGTATATAGAAGATTCTATATACGCAGAAAAAAATAAAAATAGAAAATAAAAATAAAAATAGAAATAAATTAAAGAATAAAAATAAAAATAAAATAGGAATCTATATTAAATAGATTTCTCGCGCACTATTTGCATTATTTATATAGCTGATATCGGTCTATTATAAAGTGTAATATATGTCTCGGTAAATGCATTTAAAAATGCACAGGCGGAAAAATTTTTAACGACAGATTTCTGGTATCATTTGGAGACGATTTTTCCTCAGGAAAAATATCGAGGCACCAATAATTTTCAAGTTATAATTAAAGTAAAAGATTTTTTGCTAAGTCTTGTGAAAATAAAATCACATTCTTCAATTAATTTCAAGTAAAATTTATCTTAATAGAATTTTCATTTACGATTTAATTACAAAGATACATAATGACAAAAATTGGGAATGCGAAAAAAGATGACCTCCCTCTTAACATTTTCGCTGAGGAAAATCATCTCCAAATTATACCAGGAATCTGCCATTGAAAACTTTTTCCGCTAATTCTGAAACACCCTGTATGTACATATACATATTCACATACATATACATATTCATATACATATACATATATTTATCTCGCAACAACAAACCATTAAAGTCCTTATGCACGCATGTTTGTTTTCGCATGACACGTGTTTTCCGGCCCCTGCGTAAGTTAATATAGGGCAGTAGGACCTAAACCCCATGATTAATCCTGCGATAAGTTTTATTTATGTTAATCCCTCGCCTGTAATTGCGATGGAGTTTCTGCAGACGCTTACGAGAAACCGGACTGCGCGCAAACTTGCTGCGACCGCGGGTGCACGACATTTCGAACCTGACACGAGAAGACTTGTCCTACTTATTGAGATCACGCGGGTCTTCTATACATATATACATGTGTGCGTACCTCGGTATAAACGTCGAACAGTTAACAGGCCATTTAATGCACCTGTTGTTAAAACTTGCAGGTATCGCGATCGTTGTCGATATCTCTCCTATCCGAGAATCTCAATATGCATATTAAAAAAGAAAAGTTTTCAAGAGTGATTAATTAAAATTGAATACCTTGTATACGTGCGCGCAAGTATATTTAAGTATTTATTTTTATATTTCATATTTAAAGTGTTTATTTATATTTAATATTTAATTATTTAATATATTAAATATATAATAAATTAAATATAATATATTAAATATATATAATAAATATATATAATAAATATAGCATATTAAAAATAATTTTAATATTTAAAGATATGACGCGATTATGAAAATTTCAAGCTTCTCTAATCTTCAATTATTAAAGCGATAAGTTCACCTTGAATTAATGAAAAGTAGAAAATTAAGCAATTAAGAGGAAGCATGTATGTACAGGAAGCATCGCGACATTCCATTATAAGTATTTCAATTTTTTTTTCACAGGAAACACACGCCTATATTTGAGCGAATAAAATGCATGGCTCGTTAGTCAACCTATTATCCGAAGAATATCGGTCTTGCTATCTTGCGCATTATCCGATAGAAACGTCCATTAGAATAATATGACGTGACAAACATAATAAAATATGTGCGCGGTTGAAAGACATGCTACATCGAAATTTATCATGTCATTTTTTATACAAGATGTCCATCCTTCCTTCTTCAGTTTTTAATTTTTAATTCCCTTTTTATAATTGTGCAGATTTTTCCAAAAAACCATCAATTGCAAAAAAAGAGAGCTCAATAATATCCTTTATCTTCCTTCCATTATTCGTTCTCTCGAATTGCATATTAGATTTCGGAAAGAGAAGCGCAAAGAATTTTATAATTATCGAGTTCGTCGAATTCTCTCTGATGAATGCGAATTAAACGGAGTGTGCACTGAAAAAAATTTGTCAACTTGACTAAACCTTTCAACTAAATATTATTTTGTCAATTGAACATAAAAAATATTTTAATGAAATATAATATATTAAATCTAACACACAAAACGAATATTTGACTTAAGTACTAATATATATTCAATTATATAAAAAAATAGTATATATATTAAATATATATAATAAATATATATAATAAATATAACATATTAAATATTAATTTTAATATTTAAAGATATGACGCGATTATGAAAATTTCTCTAATCTCCAATTATTAAAGCGATAAGTTCATTTTGAATTAATGAAAAGTCGAAAATTAAGCAATTAAGAGGAAGCATGTATGTATATATATTTAATATTAAGTTGAAAGATTAATCAAATTAACAAATCTTTTTTTTTCATTGTGCATCTGTCTGAGTCTGCCGTGTAATTCTCAAAGAAATACAAGCGAGTCACATTCTGACGCGACGACGACAGAAATTCTAATGGGACATTCGAGCCCCTAAGATACAGAGAGACTCGCGTTTCTCGTATACATCCTTCGCATTCCTGGATACTCACATACGGCGGCGTACAGTAGATCGCCTGGCACCACATCGGCTCGGAATGATAACATACGCAGAGACTGCAGACCGCAGGTCCTGGCACGTAGAGGAGGCCGTGTCTGACAGTGCCGCCCTGAAAATCCGTGCAGTTCTCTTCCAGAGCATCTGAAACAATTTACCACATTGCTGATCGAAATTGGCGGCGATGTAACCTGGTTTCCATTGTCATATATACGTCATATATATACACACACAAAGTATATATATACAATCTCGATTTAAAGGTCTAGAGGATTCCATTAATTCGGAATCAATGTTTACATTATTGGTAATCTTCACATTCTAGAAAGTAGAATTATATAAATGTATTTATAGAAAATAATTTATGATTTAATTTATAATGTATTATTAGCTTATACCACATTTTATTTAAAAACCGATAAAAAGAAAAAAATTATTAAATATTTAAACGATATCTTCAGATCTTTTTCTTAAATATTATTTCTAAGTTTATCTATTATATTATATATTAAATTCATAATTCTGGGAAACTAAGAACCGACGCAGAATAAAATGTGCCAAATAAACATTTTCCTAAGGTGAGCTTTCCAAATTTTATTTTTAATGTTTCGGTCCCAGGAATTGGACCATCCTCAATAACATAACGCAGATACAGTAACGATTTTTTGTCAAGATTGAGTCAGACGATTATTTTGTCAAGATTGAGTTGCCCAGAATTATTTATGAATTTAATATTTTATTGAGAACCTTACATAAGTATTATTTAATCTATTATATTAATTCTTAATTAATAATTCAAAATTAATAATAATTCTAAATAACAACTCTAAATAATAATTCTATTCATAAAAAAAGCAAATTTATAAAAACAATATTAAAAAGATTTTACTCAAATTACATAATTGAGAAGCTCTAATTACGATTAAGATAAAAAATTTAATTAATATATAATTTATTATTAATATTTAACAAAAAAACTGAAAATATTAATATACATATATAAAAACTCAAGAACTCAAACATATAGAGACCATCATTCAAATATTTCATATTTTATTATTTCTTTTCTATCATTTTTTCTTAATAAAATTGTGATATAAGCTATATGTATTATAATATAAATTAGGAATTATTTTATAGGACTTTCAAAAACATAAAATGTAGGAATTAATTAAACAATATGACTTTTTTTCTCAAAAATCTCGAGATATTTAAATTTCGTGATAATCACATAAATTTGATTTAATTTCTCGGGCGCCTTACTTGTTCTCGGTAGGAATAATAAGGTGGACAAGTAGAAGGTCCACGTGAGCGTCTTGACGGAGGATATCTTCATGATCCGCGGGATGGTTACTTGAGGAAAGTGGGACGTGCACGTATCAATAGGTGCTGGTCTCTCAGAATGATCATCGGAGAACGCCCGGTTATTGCAGCAACCTCCGCTCCGACAACACTGACAGCGCTGGCAGGAACATGTTGCCTGCGCGATAGAAATCAGAATATATACATACATACATTTGTTATCATATTGGACTAATCTCGCAAGCGTGGGTTTTACTTTAATGGATCCTAATCGCGCGATAATTGTCGTCTTCTTCGGCCTTAAAGGCCGATTACGACGAATTCTCGACCACACGCCATGTTGCCGCGAAATTGAGAGTTTTGCTAGGAATGACTCGTCATCGCCGAAGATTGCGCAGCTTATAAACAGTACAATCTTTATTTCTCAAGAAAATAATACATCTTTAGCCGCAGTGTTGTGTTTCGAGAATTAGCTAGAGTGATGAGATGAAAACATAAATTATTTTCTATCTATATTAAAATCATCTTCATCTTACAATTAAATAACATCCCAGATAGCACAGCGAATTCAAGAAGAATTCATTTGTACGTCACCAATTTTGAATCCCTTTTCAAATACATATAGAACTCATTTTAAAAAATGAATTCTATATATATTTGAAAAAGACTCAAAATTGGTGACATACAAATGAATTTTTTTTGAATTCGCTGTGCTATCTGGGATAATTTAATATAGAAAATAATTTAATATAGAACATATTTTAATATAGATAAAAATAGATAAGAGATAACATAGATAAAAGATAACTTCCACATAATATTAGTTTTAAGATCACTTATGTATAATGAATACAAGTTATAAAACATATATAAATTATAAAAGGAATATCAAAATATATTCATTTTATTATTTGTATCGCTTGATTGTACTGCTTAAATTTTATTACTTAAATATTTTTTATATATGACTCTAAACTAAATTATCTGAACATTATTCTAGATAATTTAATAAAGATAACACTTTTTCACCCAAGATACAGATAATACATATTCTTATTATCTATATAAAGATGATGCCAAAATTTCTCTAGATGATCATCTATATAATGTTATTTAGATAACAGTAAACACACCGTTTTTAATTAATATATTTTTTATAAATTGTATAAAATACTATTCAATGTCGATGTATTATTTTCCCTAAATTCGGTAAGTGTATAAAAAATAAAATCCAAATTATACGTAGGATTAAAATATTAATATAATAATATTGAGCGTGACATTAAAACTAATTGAAGAATATCAAATGTTATGCTAACTTAATTTTTTAATTTTTAATGACAGATAAATTCTTGTATTCTTTAATTACAAATATTCATATCAATATCATTGTTTTATTAAAAATAGTCTCTTTTATTAAATTTATATATTCCCATTTTAAATAAATAAATTTATATTTATATCTCTTTTATTACCTTTGATTAAAAATATCTTTTTTTACATAATTTTACATAAATCAATAAAATCTGCATTTGTCCGACCGCAATCAAATATAATATGAAAAAGCTAGCAAATATTGCACTTGCAAATTGATGAAGCGGAAATGCATATCATATATTGTGACGATAACTAACAGATCCCGCAAATTCGATAGGAGAATTCTAATTTTAATGAAATCTTGTTCAAGAGGAACTTTCAATAAATGAATTTCAAACTTTTCAATTGTTTTCAGCAGTTAAAATCCATACTAAATACGCGTGTGTGTGTGCGCGTGCAAAGTTTTATTAAAATCATAATTTCCAAGATTAGTGTTCCAGGATTTCTTCCTAAGTTCTGCATTCAACTTCTTGTTGACAGACTTTTTGGCACTCTTGGAAGCTCAAATTGAATCCAAGAGTTTGCGGTTCTGATACAACATGATCTGTTCTATCAAGTTTGTATATGTGTATGTATTACATGTATTATGTACGGGATGTATAAACATTGTAAACAACACACCACTTCGTTCATTGTGTGTTGAAATAGAGTCTAAGGCTAAATACATATTGGATCGATTTAGGAAAATATTTTCCTTTCTTTCAAGAATGTCATATTATGACCCTTACATTAGCTTTAGTTTTATACACACATGTATATATTGTAAAAAGTTGGCATTTCAATGTGTCGTTAAAACAAAAACTTTGCCTTACAAGATCTTGTATCGTCAAATTGATTATTTCAATCTTAATTATTATATCAATCTTTGCAAAATTCTTTTAACAAGAAACTTAAAAGTCTGAAATCTGCAAAATTTGTCTAGAGAGGAGTTTCTTCCTGAGAAAAATAACTAGTTATTCGAAGATAGATAAGATAATAAAAATGATGGAAGATGATCGAACGTTTACCGATGCATTGTTTATTAAAATCTTGCTTTTACACGAATAGAATTTATTTTGGAATTCTTTCTTGAAGAAAAAAAGAAGAAAATTTTAGCCAATCCAATAACTTTGACCCTCTTGTTTTTCGATGCTGCAGATGTTGCACCAAAAAAATGTATTTATCTATTCCATATATATTTATAGTGAATGACGAAATCTGATTCTACGATATATCTGTATCAAGATATAGCATCGAAACTCGCTACTAATTATACGTGTTGAGATACTTGTGCGAATATGCATTTCGTCCTTAGTAAGGTCACGCGAATAAGCGCGACTAGAGTCTTTCTGAATCGATCGTCGGAGTGACGTGTGTATTCGAAGCTATCTGTGTACGTACAAAGACAAACTTTATTTCAAGTTGCCAAGCCGCAATTTACGTTGTCATGTATATTTAAGCGAACGCCAACTTTCGCCAAGATTTTATTATGTAGTCAAAATTTTGACGCAAGAAGCACACATTTCATAAATTCACAAATATCTGAATATTATTTGAATATTTCTACCGTATGCAAAAATTACGAAATCGCTTTTAAAATATTAATCAATTTATAAACTTATTATATTAGAGAGAAAATATCGGAATAATCTACATTGTTTGATAATCTAGATTTGCGGAAATGCAAATATTTTTCGGATCTAGACACGCCCAGTTTTTATATTTCATTTTTAGTTAGGTCCTATTTTATTACACAACACTTTAGCTGGTAAGAATTTACGTGAAACAGCAACTTCTCATTCAAGATTCAAAATAGATATCAAACTGCAAGAAGCTTTAAAACCGCTTAGTATCTATCATAAATTGATAGGACATAACCAAGTACTTAATACTTAATTAGTTGCATATTAATTACTATATTATATATCAGTTTTTGAACACTTCGCAGTTAACGGTTCTTTGTTTACAATTTTTTTAAATTTATTTCCTTTTTATATTTTACTAAGCAATATTATTTTATATATTATATATTTTTTTAAAATAATTTTATATCTTTTTTTTCTAAAAAAATTCTGTATATTTTGTATTTTTGCAAGGTGCATATTTAGTATTGTACTATTTTTCAAATATATCATTTTGTCTATTATTTCTGTATTAAATAAATCTACAAAAATACAGAAACAAGCAAAATTACAAATGAAGATTGAATGATTCGAATATTTCTTCTAATTCATTGAATTGATTGTAAATCTGATAGTACATTTATAGAAATAGTTTTCTATCTTTTCTTATTGTCTTAAGAAAGTTAAAATATGTAAGAATTTAAATAAATTTTCTTCGGACAAATACACAATTGATTAAAAAACCATTTTGTGCTGTACACTTTATTTAAAGAAATCTTATTCGCGATATTAAAATATATATGTATGTGTTTTATAACAAGACTCTGATTAATTCCGCACACAATTGTTTACGAGACAAAACTTTCATTTTAGTTTCTTTAAAGCTTCTTTTTAATCCGCAGTTAAAGTGCTTATCTTAAAATTGAAGTAGTAAAAAGCGTTTCGTTAGCGATGAGATTACAAATTTTGACTCGTTCTAAAACTTTCTTTTTAGACAATATAGGCGAAGATGGAAAATTCAATTCTTTTGCAATTTTTTGCATAATGTAGTAAGCTAAATTCTATTAATTCCGTCCTCTTCCTATTTATAAGATTTTTCATAAATAAAAGAAAATAATGAGATATAACTGAACGAACTTTTCTTCAGACAAATATTGTCATAAATTTGTAAAGTATTTGAATTCAATTATTGTTATTCATTTACTGTCATATTGAATTAAATTGTGTTCACGCAGTTTTTAGAAAGTATATTTATTATTAATATTATATATAATATTACAGAGTATATTATTATGACACAGAGAATTTTGTGTTAAAATTTATTTTGAAAATTATGATTGTGGAATAACAAAATAATGATATTTTGAAGAATTTTATGAAAGTTTCTCTGATTAATATCTATAATAAAAAATATTAATATCTTTACAATATAAAATATATCTAATTAATTTTACTAAAATATCTATTAAAATATAGTATATAATATCTAATTTTAAAATATGTTAAAAATTTATGACTCGATATTTTAAATCAAATAAATAAAAGAGTGATAAACAATATATAAAATATTATATATAAATTTCACAATGCAGCCTATTAATTATTAGCTTATTACCAAATATGATAAAATGTGTATAGCGAATTTTGCGGTAAAATATATGCATAAAAATTCTCTCCGTACACATGTATAATAATATTCTCTGTTAGATACCTAGGAAATATCTAGGAAAATTGAAGTATGTATAATAAATAGAATAGATCCTTCGTCAAAAAACACTTTGTGGATGGATCATATCTGAAGATGGGCGAGAAGAAGAAAAAGCCAAAGAAACGATTTGACTTGACTTGCAAATTAACGAGAACACAACAGGACGATTTAGAGAGATCCAGGGAGAGCGGCGTAACGAAAGCCGCGCGAAAATGATGTCAACGACCACGTTCCCTCGTTTGTCACGCTCGACTTTAAGCCGTCGTCAATCAGTAGCTGAATGACGTCACAGGCGCGAACCGCTTCGCAATCAGTCCGCGGCTGATCTGACGTGATGCTGATGCGGGTACCAACTCGCGCGTTCGCCAATCGTGCGCGGTATCCTCCGTTATCCAGGCCGAGTGGAAATAAATCCGCATAATAGCAAACGGGAGGGTGGGAGGTTTACCTTCATGCTGTATCGCGTTCGCATCACATCATCCCTCGTGGGCCGCTCGTCCACCCCGTCGTACGCACCATGTGTTCACCACCCCCTTGCCTCTCTTCCTTTCTCCGGGGGTGCGACAGGAGCGGGATCTTGACAGAAAGTGAATTCCTCGGGCCTACCGGGTGGGAGAAAAATCAAAGATTAGTCACGACAAGTGCGTATAAAACGGGGAAATGCAGGGGTGGAAAAAAAAAAGAGAAAAAGGGTGTATACCGGTTGTTTCTCGCGATCGGGATAGACCCCCGGAGGAGGAACCTTGACGCGCGATGCGGCAGCTGGCGACGACACCGACCGACTGACCAAACTCTGTCGCAGTACGAGCTTGTTCCTCTCTCGCGAGGGTCGATCGAACCGTATTCCGCGCACCGCGCCTCCGCCTTTCTCCCTCGCCCTCTCTCCCTCTGCCTCGTCCAGCTATATATCTCGCTCTCTCATCCCCTCGCTTTCTTGCCACGCTGCGACGAAGCCCCCCCTGTGGAAGCGCAACGCACCCCTGACGTCGAGGAAAAGCGTATTCGTCGCAGTCGTGTACTTTCGAGATTTCAATCCCGATAACGAGGGCTGACTGATTTCGAGATATAGGATAAGGTGCGAAAGTCTCGCCCGACTAATTTATTTAGCCCTCTCAGCGTTGTTCACCATTGTTTGCGCGAAGATTTCAATTTGGACTTCTCCCTCAAAGAATATTATTATTATTATATAAAAAGCTAGTATATATATATATATTATTATTATTATATTATATATTTTATATAATTAGTATATTATATATATAATATAATATATATTATTATTATATAAAACTAATTTATTTCATGTCAAATCAATTAAAAACATACATACAATTTATGCTTAAATTTTAATGATTAATATAAGCGTTTTCAATTTTACTATCAATATATAGAATCTAATAATACATATAAGATGATTTTCTAAATTCATTAGAATACTGTCATGAAAATTAAAATTACAAGCTATATAACATCCTATATATTAATTTGCAGTAATTTAGAAATCACAATATAGTCTATCTAATAGAGTATTTCAAGAATATTCTAAAATATGGTTTGTAGACATAATTTTAAACAAAAAAGTTCATATAAACATGTGTTCTATTTTAAACGATTATAAAGATACAATGTTTTTAATCTAAACACATTTAGTAATTTAATAAAATCAAATTCTATGAAACAATTACATCAAATTTTAAGCTTACCATAAATTTTCAAATATATTTCACCACCGACCCCAATGCAATTAATTCATCTCGTATATTCTTCATTTTTCCTTCATAAACTAGACTTACAAATTTCTATTATAAATTAATAAAATGTATTTGTTCTTAAGATTCTAAAGATTATAATATTCAGAAAATAAGATATACGTTATATAACAAATTAAAAAAAATGATGTATACAAAATCATGTCCTAAAATACTGACTATTCCTTCTGAAACATCCTGCATATATAATCATATTATGATTTCTTAAATTATTGCAAAGTAATATACAGGTGTTACACACAGTTCGCAATTTTAATTTCAATGACAATTTTCTGATTAATTTAGATAGATATGTAATTAATAAGTTTTACATATATATAGCAAAATTAAACAAAATTCTTATACTAATAATAATTAAAATTTTACACATAAATTTCCCGGTTTTTAATTATACGAGAAAAAAGTTGTTAGCTCACTAAATTATTATTTTGTTAATTAAATGTATAAAAGTATTTAAGTCAAATACACGTTTTGTTAAATTTAATAATATATTGCATTTAATTATAACATTTCTACATGTTCAATTAACTTGTTTTAATCAAGTTAACAACTTTTTTTCAGTGCACAAATTAAATTAGACAATATATAATATATTACCTCAAAGTAATTTCCTAAAAAATTGTAATATCTATATATAATTATGCAAAAAGTATAATTTTAAGATACCGTATATATTTAATGTGTAGCACGATTTCATTAACTCTCCGACCCGGTGGGAAACGTGATTAATCTCCGTTATCAGCTGCATCGTTATTAGAAACGCGTTTTCGATTTTCCCCAAACAACGATGGGGACCGTAATATCGAAATTGCTTTAAAATACGTGTGATAAGAGGATATGAGTGCCTGGAGCGTTGAATCGATTATAAAATCTTTGTTGAAGAGGAAAAAATGCTGAAGAAATTTTGCGGGAGCAAAAAATAGATGCACGCCGATGAAATATATATATATATAATATATATATTATAGCTTTAATGAATAATATAGGGTATATCAAAATTATCTCTGCATATTTTTAATCTGACATGAATCTTGGAATTTTCCTTCGAAATTTAGCGATGAAAATTTATATATATATATATAATAACTCATTTCCAAACTTTTTCCGCACGACGTATTTTAATTTTATTATTAAATACCTTTATTTACTCGAAAATTCACTATCAACTGAAATTAATCTCGAAGTTAATTAAATCAAATTCTTCTTAATTTTTTAAAAGAAAAATAAAACAATTTCTTTATAAGAGGAGAATTATTACATCCCACCGAAAGATTAATTCATGTATATGTATATTCATATATATATATATATATATATATATATATATATATATATGTTCATATATATGTATATGCATAAATAAGAAAATTGTAAAATGTATGTGTATATGCAGAAATTCTTATTTTTTTAAATAAAATTAAAATTTATTTTTTATTTAAATTTTATTTTATATTAATTTTAAATAATATAAAAAATAAAAATGTCCGCATATATATTATTTATTTTATAACATCTTTTTTGAATAAAATAAAAAAATAAAAATTTATTTTGCACATTTATATTAATAAGCCCTTATATGTATAAGTGAAAATTATTACGTCTCACCGGAGGATTAATTCAAATATACGCATATAAGAAAATTTGCGTGAGTGGATGAAAGAAAACGACGCAGATGCATTTGATTCTCGGCCACTGCATCAGGATTGCGGACACTTTATAAAATGAACTCTCGCCAATTCGTAAAATGAAGGAAGCGTATGAGAGATACGCGCGATTATAGCGAATGAACTGAATTACGCAATTATCCGTAAGATAGAATTATCGTATATATTCTTCGCCATCCTCCTTTACGCGCGATTTGTCATTTTACTCCGCGACTGCGATTTACCTCCATTTCCGCAATTTTCTCCCGCCATTTTCCTCTCCATTGACAACCGCGCCGCGTCGACATCGTCATGACAACCGTGGAATCCCTCATATGTATATCCTTCAAACAAGGAAACGAGCGCTGATCGAAGAAGCGAAGAACCTGTCGAGGAGATTAATTAACGTCGATTTTTGCCCGGAGGAAGGGAAATGAACGACTGTCTGTCACTAAACGCCATTTCCGCCCGCGTCGCTCACTTGGCGAAGGATAAGGTGATGGCGAACATACATATTACATTTTTAGAACGCGTCAATTAACGCCACTGAATAATTAATGCACGCTACTTTACGTCAGAGATTCATTTACGAGATATCACTTTTTTCGGATTTATTACTCTGATGTGTGAGCAGAAGTTCCATTTATTATCGGACACGCTCTAATTTCTAATAATAATTCCATACTATATACACCTTCCGTCATAATCTTACTAAAAAAAAATTATATAAGGTGTCCCATAATCTTTCAGGGGCAGATTCCTATAATATTATAATATTATATGATTGATTACATATTAATTTTATTTTTATCTTAAATATTTATTAAATCTTAATACCTTTTTATTGTAATTAGTTTCTCAATCATGTGATCGAGTAAAATCTTTTTCATATTTTTTTATAAATTTGCTTTTTCTATAAATATAATAATTATTTTTAGAATTATTATTAATTAGAAATTAATATAATAGATAAATTTAGAATTAAGATTTAAAATTAAAAAAATGTTTTATAAAAAATAATATATATTAATGGCAGATTCCTGGGATCATTTGGAGACGATGTCTCTTCAGCAAAAATGTCGAGAAAAGCACCATTTTTTGCATGCTTCGGATCTTTGTCATTATGTATCCTTTTAACTACCTTAAATTAAAATCCTATTAAAGTAAATTCTACTTGCATTAATTGAAGAATGTGATTTTGTTAATATTTCATTTCTACAAGGCTTAGTTTGCGAGAAACTCTTTAATTTTTGCTATTGTAAATAAAGGGTTTCTCGGAAACTAAGCTTTGTAGAAATAAAATATTAATAAAACCACACTGAAAAACAATTTGTTAAATTCAAATAAGTATTTATTTCAATACTGCCAAATAAATCAATTTTTTATTTGAAACCAATAATATTGATTTGATGTGAAAAATATTTATTTGATATAAGAAAATCCTTTTCAAAACAAATAAATATGACTTATTAAAATAAATATTAATTTAATAATTTTTTTTCAGTACACATAACATAAAATTTTCGCTTATAACTTAAAATTATTGATGCCTCGACATTTTCATTGAGAAAAAATCGTCCCCAAATGATGCCAGGAATCTGCCCCTGGAAGATTAATTATGAGTTTTGAGACATCTTTATCGCATTGTGAAATCGTATTCGCGTCTTTAATAAAGTAACGCGACGAAAGGATGATGAACTGACAGATCAATTATATCGCGCCTCCTCGTGCCTGTGTATCAAGATTTTCTGAAAATATAGAAAATATCGTATCAGAAAAAATCAGGATATACAAGTAATTTAAAAGAAATGTGAGGGTTAGAAGAATTCATTTTACAAGCTCGACAGGCTCGAATCCGATGTCACAGTTTCGCGATAAATTCAATTCTCAATCGCAGATATAGGAATATATATACAGGGTATCCCATTTTAATATCCCACCCCAAATAAGTTTTTTATTTTTGATTGTAGAAAGAAATGTTTCAGACAAAAATTGTATGGTTTCGAGGAGGACATAAGGTGGTGCCATTAGTTTGACCTTGAATAGTTGCTTGAAGTTCACGTAAAGGTCACCTTGAGGTGAGGAGATCTTGTCTTATAACTCAAAAAGTACTTGAGATAAAAATGTTTTATTATAGTGTTTTGGAAAGCTCTCGATGTCAGCTACAAGAATATGCAATGAAAAGTAGATGGTTCCACTTAAGAAATTAAAGATGACTTTTACATGACCCTCAAGCAACTATTCAAGGTCAAACTAATGGCACCACCTTGTGTCCTCCTCGAAACCATACAACTTTTGTCTGAAACTTTTTTTTACAATCAAAAATAAAAAACTAATTTAGAATGGAACATTAAAATGGGACACCTTATATATATGTGTGTGTGTGTATATATTTAAATCGCCCACTCTCTTTCCATCATCACGATATACATAGCGAGGAAGAATCCGCAGATTCGTTCGACATAAATGATTTAAATTTAAATTACAATATTTATTCTCTTTCTCTCTCTGCATTAAACGAAATGTCAGTGTTTCGAAATATCAGAATGTAAAAGAACAATTATTCGTAGTTAGAGAGAGATCTGTAAATGTTAATCAGAAATTATTGGCATCCAAATGTAATGTAATCTATGAAATTTTTGGATCTTGCATAATTATTGCTAAGACTAAGATTAATTCAATTTACTGATCTTGATAGTATTTTCAAAATTAATTATAAAAAATGTAATATATGTATAATCGAAGGAAATCAAATCATTTTTTTATGTTGGTATATTTTTTTTTATATGTCCTTCTTTTCTAAAAACTTCAATATTTCCTTTTACTTTACAGCATAGAAATAATTTCTAAGTCGTGATATTATATAATTATAGCCCAAAGAAAAATATATAAAAAATTGTAAATTAATTATTATAATATACATATTTATTATTAATCAGGAAGAGAAACGTGCTCAAGAACGTCGGCGACATCTTATTTATCTTATCACTGCCTTTTTACGGGAACAAGGGTGAGCAGAATTTATAATTAGATTTAAAATTCGTTGCATACTATAAAAGAAATTGATTGAAATTATCTATTATTAATATATGTATATCGAAACTTCATTATGTTGCTGTAAACATTTAAATACCAAACGAATAATGAATATTTATTTATTTATTACTTATTAGTTATTTATTTTATTGCTTATTATTTATTTTATTGATTATTTCATTACTTTTGCTCCAAGTAGAAATATTTAAATATTTAGAAATAAGAAGAAATTATTGATGAATTTCGTCGTTTTTTTAATTTGAAATTTATTACCACAAAATTAAATATAATAATTGTATCAATATTAATGCAACGAGAATCAAATTATTAACATTCCTCATAGATATTCTAACACAGCGGAGAGTCTATTCAAAGAAGCTCAGCTCTCTCGAGACATTCAAGTATGTGACAATATCGACCTGGAGACTATTATTCTTGAATATACTGATTATTATCACGCCAAGTACAACAGGTACCCGAAACTATGTAAGAAGGCAGAAGCAACCACCGGAAATGTGCCACAGAATGTGTAAGAAATACAAACAGTCATTTAGAGAAGTATAATAAATGTAGAATATTAAATATTAGAGATCTAATCAAAATATTAATGTTATTGAGAAAAATTTAAATATATAATATATAAAAAGTATAGAAATTTAAATATAATAAAATGATATAAAAATTCATTATATATACAATAAGTGTAATATAATAATATAAAAATTTAAATACAAAAACTATTAGATTAATCTCTGTTAATATAATTTCTTTCAATTCCCTTGTATACTTAATAAATGAAGAAACAGTCTTGTGGCAAAATATATTTGTGACAATAAATTAATTATTCAAATCTCGAGAAGAGAGAATTCCTCTGACTCTTTTCTTTCTGATTAAATTTCGATCTTTCGCAGAACAGCAATAAAAAAGAGAGACCCACGAGGGTCCTCAATTCGAAGCAAGAGGATAGTCGTATCACCGAGGAGTGCAACAGTATTGGAAGAAATAAAATCGTCCAGAAACAATCGTCCGCGTGGGACGAATTGAATCTCGGTATCACGGTAACGCCAATTTTTCCTGCGGAAAGTGGCGATCGAGTCATACATCCGCTGATGTCCGGCGAAACTGCCGCTGATAATGAGAGACTACTGAGACCCATCGGTGATCTTTATCCATCTGGCTCCGAATTGAAAGAAATCGCCGACGTTATATCACGGGTAAAAGATTCGACCTAAATCATATTAATACATTTAATGTTTTAACATATATTTAATATATTATATTATATTAAAAAATATATTTAATATATATAAATATTCATATATATTTATACTTAATATAATATATAATATATTTAATATATTTCAATATATTTCTTTAAATTAAATTAAATTAAAGAAATATATTAAAATATATTAAATATATTAAATTATTATTTAATTTAATTTAATTTTGTGCGATGGTCGCATTCATTAAATACGACAGTAAAACTGAGCACATTAGAGAGTTTTGTTGTATAACAGAATAAAGAATTCATAATATCATTTGTGAATTTAATAAAAATCACGAATAAAGCGAGTGTGTTTATAAGATAAAGCATGATAATTCGTAGGAAATCGTGCAACAAAAGTTGAACGTTCATTGGGACGACATAAAAGGATTAAAGAATTGCAAGACGTTATTAAAGGAAGCTATATTGTACCCCATGAAATATCCAAATCTGTTTAGCGGAAAACTCGGTTCTTGCAAAGGCGTATTGTTATACGGTCCACCGGGAACTGGTACGTAACGTAGCGAAATTAGCGGAAAATTGACGAAAAAAAGAAAAAAAATTTCATTTCTAACAGGAAAGACAATGCTCGCGAAAGCGGTCGCCACAGAGTGTCATTCGACCTTTTTTAATATCACTTCCAGTTCTGTCATTAGCAAATGGAGAGGCGACTCCGAAAAATATATTCGCGTAAGTAGAATTTATATACATTAACATTAATTCAAGAAAATATATATATACATACATTAGACATAGAACATTTTTTCCTTGACTCTTTATATTAAAATTATTCCTAAATATATTAAAATATGTTTGCAATACCAGAATTCAATATCAATTATTTATAATAGATACTTATGAGAAAGATTTATTGAAAATTAAGCATGAGAAAGGTATTTTGAATTATATAAATAATATATAATAATAATATATATATATAATATAATATATAAATATATTATAAATATCTATATATATAAGCACCGTCCGTCTGTCTGTCTGTCTGTACCCGAACTACTTCCGCATTTGTGGACCGATTGTCTCGAAATTGGTACCAAAATGTTGCAAATTTTTCGGGGGTGGCTGCTGTGGGTTTTTTTTTAATTTTTTTATTTTTATTTTTTTTCCTCAGAGGAGGGTGTTTTTGCAAAAAAAATTTTTTTTGCAATATTTCTGAACACATGGTATCAAAATGTTGCAAAATTTTTGGAGATAGCGACGATGCGGTTTTTTTAAGTGTTACACTTCCACCCACTCACCCACCCACGCATTTACCCACATGCATACGCATTTATAGACCAATTTTCACGAAATTAGTACCAAAATGTTGCAAATTTTTCTGAGGAAACTGCTGTGTGGGTTTTTTAAGTTTACGCCTCCACCCACGCACCCACCCGCGCAATCGCATACTTATGAACCGATTTTTTTTAAATCGGTACCAAATTGTTGCAAATTTTTTGGAGATGGAGACGATGCGGTTTTTTCAAGTGTTACACCTCCACCCACGCACCCACCCACGCGCATGCGCATTTATGGACCAATTTTCACGAAATTGGTACAAAAATGTTGCAAATTTTTCTGAGAAAGCTGCTGTGTGGGTTTTTTAAGTTTACGCCCCCACCCACGCATCTACCCACGCAATCGCATATTTATGAACGGATTTTTGTAAAAATTGGTACCAAAATGTTGCAAATTTTTGGAGATGGCGACGATGTGGTTTTTTCAAGTGTTACACCTCCACCCACGCATTCACCCACACGCATGCGCATTTATGAACCAATTTTCACGAAATTGGTACAAAAATGTTGCAAATTTTTCTGAGAAAGCTGCTGTGTGGTTCTTTTAAGTTTTATCCCACCCATGCATCCACCCACGCATTCAAACATTTATTCACAGACTTTTTCGAAATTTGTACTCAAATTTTGTCCGGGGTGGCTACTATATGATTTTAACAAATTTTTATCACTTTATTTATCCACCCACGCACCCACCCAAAAAAAATTTAAACATTTATTTTGATATAAATTTCGTGAAAGTCGGACAACAAATGTGGAAGTAGTTCGCGGTAATACAAAAAAGAATTAATTTTTTGTGTTAAAACGGATTTAATATAGGCTATATGAGGACCGCGCGAAGCGCGGTCCGAATAGAAAGGCTTTGAGGACCGCGCTTCGCGCGGTCCGAAAAGCTAGTATAATATATAAACAATGGAATTAAAATATCTCTGTATGATGAGAAGAAAAACTATTTTACATTTTATACTTCTTATAAGCATCAAAATCCGGCCTATTATAATTATTAATTTATGTATAAAAATTGGCAATGATTAATTAATCTCGATGGCTTTCGCAATATTCCGGAAAAATTAATAATAAAATATCAAGAATTTTTTATTATTAATTTATAAATTTTTTGTAATTTTAGGTACTCACCGATCTTGCTAAACATTATGCGCCTACGATAATCTTCATCGATGAAATCGATTGGACGACCACAAACAACGTGGACTATGGTTCGTCGAGTTCGGAACCTGCTAGAAGGTTTCGAGCGGAACTTCTCGCCAGATTAGATGGATTATTATCATTGGATAATATTAATGTAATATTATTAGCAGCTACAAACGTTCCCTGGTAAACAAAAAGCAATTATATAAGAATAAAATTATATAAGAATAATTTTGACAATTTGATTGTAATGAATATTTGACGAATTTAAAAGAAAAAGATGCAAAATTATTCGTCAAAAAAAGACAATTCTTGCATATTTCATATTTCTTAAAATATTACTTTTTTGCATATAATATCCCATAATTTTTTTCATATATACATAATTAAATTAAATGATTAATGATTAAGTCTAAACAATTATGTTCCAAAACAGCAATGCATTTACTCAGAATATTTTTCTTAAAATCGCCGTAAATAATTTTTTTTATATTTTCTTTCAGGAATATCGACGTTGCCTTATTGAGACGTTTAGAGAAGCGAATTTTTGTGGATCTCCCCGACGAGGCTAGTCGATTGGAAATATTACGGTTTTATGTGCGTGACAATTTACACGATTCGTCGGAAATGTTTAAATTAGTCCAAGAAACCACAGGATATTCCTGCGCGGATTTGAAGCTGCTGTGCAAGGAAGCATGGATCAATCAGTTGCGGCCTATTTGGGCGAGTCTCGAGACCAAAGCAATTTCCGTCAGCGATATTCGAAACGACGGTCAGATCAATGCAATGAGTTATCTTACGTCTGCAAAACATAATGTAAAACCCACCGCCAAGCATATAAACGCGCAATATATAGAATGGCATAAACAATTTGGTTGTTCTAAATGAGTAGGAAAATAGCAGGAGCACTTGGAGTCATAATTATAATAAAAAAAAAGAGCAGATATGTGTAATATGTATAATAATTAGACATAATGCATATAATTAGATTCATTTTTTCTCAGTCCAGAGATATCCTATAAAATTTCTATTCATCTATTTTCAATATAATTATTTAACTAATTTCAAGTTACTTTTAAAAATTGAAACTGAAAATTATATATATATGTATTTTATTATTTACATATATATCGGTTTCAATTTTTAAATATATATATATATATTTATGAATATCAGACTTCATTTCCTAAACATTCAAAAATACATTGTTTCAAAAAGTTTGAAAAATCTTTGAGTATTATATGTATATGTATAAAGAATTAGTACAAATAATTATTTTGCAACACAAATAGTGTACATTTTTTAAAACAATTTTACTACTTTATTATTGAAGAATTTATTAATAATAAATAATAATATTTATACTGTAATATGATCATATTTATCATTTAAGCATATTAATGATAAATGATAAGATATGAATATTTTTATCTAGATAAAATAAGTATGCAAAATTTTATTAGTGCAAATTTGTTGATACAATGTATAAGTTTTGTTGCATCCTATAGAAAGATAAAAATTTCCAAAACAGACTATTGACAATTTCTTCTTTTTTGTTGATTGATTTTAGCCTGTTTTAATCCATGATAATAACCTATATAAAAATATTAGATATTATTTTAAATTCGTTCTTGTCATCTTTTTTAAATCAATATATTTCTAGCTAAGCTTTAAATTATAATTTGATTAAAGTAAATTCTGTTTGAAAATAAATAAAGAATAAGATTTTATATTTTTTAAAGTTTTATATATAGAAAAAAACGTTTAATCTCAATTATTTATAATTCAAAAATTTACTGAACATATTTAATACCAAAAAAACTAATTTTTTACTCTTAAAAAAATATATATTGCACAAATAAAAATATAATCTCTATTATATATTATGTTAAATAGATAGATGAATAGAAACTAATACTGAAACTGAACTTAAATATATCTCAAAAATTACCTGTATGAAATCCACTTATGTACCACGACATCAACATACTAGATAATGCATCTGCATCTGTTTCTGGCAATCTGTAAGTAGATATTATTCAATTTTATTATTTATTTATCTGGTTATTATTATACTTATATGTATATCTTTAAATTAAGTATTACTGGGCCATCAATTGTGGTGGTAAGGGTGGCGCAGGTGGCATTGCATTTATTGACGAATTGAAATATTCAGTTTCAGGCATAAAATTATTTTTAAATAGCCTGGGATATTCTGTATCACAATCCATCCTTTCACCATTCATTTGTTTGGAATTCTGTTGTGATGAATATGTTGATGTGTCAGAATCTAGGGTCTCCTCTTCAGCTTTTTGTGCTAATGCATCTTTCTGCTGAGCAATTTGACTCTGCAGTCCTTCTGATTCCAAAAGAGAACTCAGTTCTACCTCTTCTTTATTCTGATATCCTGCGAACAGTAAATCATTATAGTTACAAACAGTTATATCATTGAATGATATAACATTAATATTATTTTAATACAGTATTAGAATGTTTTCTCACTTGCTTTCAAATATTGTTTAATATTGTACTTTATTATAGGATAAAAATAATATATATGTATATAGAATTATATTATTTTAATAGATAAATTACCAACAAATTTCACCGTGCACATGCCAGAGCTCTCATGAATCTTTATTATAATAGCTTCGTAAACTTGCCCGTCTACTGAATACACTGCACGACAAGGAGCACCGACAGTCCATTTCTATAATACATAATATGCAATAATAAGCAAACTTTTCATGCTAAACAATTCCTTCTATATAAATACAAATAATAATAAATTGTGGCAATAAATATAAACGTCGCACCTTGGAGTGCTTCTTTGTTTGATTCATACGTTTGGAACTTTGCGATTTCTGTGATGTCTGTTGATTCTGTACATCCATAGCAATGCGCTTTGCCACTTCCTCCTTGGCCAAGTTTACAGCCTTGTCGTATGCTTGTACCAATGCAGTATCATCCCAGATATCGTCATCTCCACTTTTCTACAAATTGTTTTTGTATAATTAGTTATTTTCAACAAAGCACAAGATTTGATAAGTTAACATTCCTGAGCTGTTCTTTTATTATTTAAGAATTATTAGGAATTAATTAATTTATTAAGAATTAATTAATTATTAGTAATTATTTGAGAATTATTAGGAATTAATATATATATATTTGGACATTGAAAATTAAATAATGTGTAAAATAGATTTAAAGAAAATAAATATATAAAAGAGAAAGAAAGAAATACAACACACACACAAACAAGAGAGATCTCTACGTTCACCATTATTTTACTTACATTTCCATTTCTTCTTACAAACAGCACATTATTTTCGTCAGACATTTTATTCGCGTATAATCTACAAGCAGTGTAAGCAAAAACGTGATTCTCGTGATGTAAAAACGTTTCACATTTTTTTCTATACGGCTTTACAAGTACAAATATTACGAGAAAGGAGAATGAAAGCGAATATCCTCGCGGTGTTTTTCAACGGAACGGAATAAGATTTTAGATTTTTCTACACTTTCCTGAGTTTCCTGCGATTTACACTTTCTCCACTTACATCTCATTGGTCGAACAGTTGATGGTTTGCGCGCGCTAAATATGAATTACTATAAATATTTAGCGTACATTTTTTTTATTTTCCTACCTAAAGAATAATATAATAATTATATTTTGTGATATTATTTTATATCTTGTCAATTGTAAATTTGAATATAACATCCTATATGTGTGTGTATATGATAACAATAATTAGAATAATAAAAAAACTACTGCAGCAAAGAGATCGACTTATCTTTCTGCTTCTTGCTTCCTGGAATGAAACGAAATGAACGCCCAATCAAAGCTGTACAATTTTGATATTTAAAAAACATTAAAGAGATAGAAGAAGGTAAAAATTATCTTAAATGTTCATATACAACTACTATATATATGTATTATAATCTTCATGTGCAACATTTATTACTACAGCTTCCCACAATGGAAGAAATGTGTATTATGTGATTTCACATCAAATGGAAGAGATCAGTTTTCTTTGCTTATAATCATTACAATACTATTTATATATAAAATAAAATGTATGTCCATAGTATAGATATCTGTGTTATAATCCACATGAAAATGACTATATAAAAAACATTACTATATATATAAACATGAAACGAAATCAATTTGCATTACAAAATTGATGCAAAGAATTTAAACTTTGAAATAATTTACACACTATTTATTCTAAATTTTTATATTGAAATATAAAGAATTAAGAAGTACTACAAAATAATTTTTAGAATTATATATTTATTAATTAATGCATAATTATAATTTATGATATATTCTTATACAAATAAATTTTGATTATTCATATGTACAGTTTTAGTATATAAACACACCATTGATTTTGATTTCACATCACATTTAAATTGTCACGTGCACGCATTATTAATGATATATCTTTGATATATATATATATAACAAATAAAAATGGAAGATAGTGAATAAATTGTAATTATACATATATATAAATTTTTTATAATAATTAACATGATATTATATATGCACTGATAAATATCTAGATACTGATAAATTATATCAGATAACCAACACTTTTTAAATTTATGTATTATTTCAATAATAACAATTATTTCACAATAATATGCAATATGTGTGTAACACAATTAAAATTGGCAGTGCATAATATACATTTAATGATTGCTTGGTTTTCTCTCTTAGCTTGAATTATTTAAATATATATCTAAATTATCCAAATAGAAATTTATCTAATTAGCTGATTGCTTTTACAATCACATTTTGATTTTTAATTGCTTAAATTTTGGATATTATATTCTCTAAAAAAAACTATACCAATCTGTAAAATTGGTTTTATATAGTATAAAATGCAAAAAATCTCTATTAAAGAATATTATGAATGAAACATTTGTTATCATTCTGTTCTAAAATTCTTGCATGTAAAATTTCAAGTAGAATATCATTAAAACTTGGTTCTTTTTCTCAAATATTTATTTTATGCGTCACTCTTTGCTTCCTCTGCATTCGTCAGAATTTTCCATAGAACAATGACCTCCCTGAGCAAATATTTTCAGGACCTCGTCTTCAAAATTAGGATCAAGTAAAATATCTATTCCTTTTGTTCCACATGCGGAATATTTTTGAAACACTGTCTTAGCTATTTCCCATAATGAACGATTGTGTTCTAATGTATGGACCAGAGGCTGCGCCAATGGGAATAATAATGACAGATTACTAGAAGATGGAATAATATATAATGAACACAAAATATAATATATATAATATTGAAAAAAAAATATTGTGGAATATACACTTACGTAAAGAGAGGAATAACTAGATTAGTGATAAATTGTATCTGGAGATCGGGGATAGATGCGCGTTCTCTGTCCATCATTTCTACAGGCGCATTTCCCATGCTTTTTTCTAAATCTCCTTGCGAAAAGAATTCATCAAATATCTGCTCCTGAAAAACCATTATAATATTTATTTATAGATTAGAGATCTGTGAAAAAGATTTCGCATGTTGATTAACAAACAATATTTACTGCAGTTTTCTTTGAAACCTTCCAATCCTTGGTTTGATCGCTAAGATCACAACAAGTCATAAGCATTTCGAGTAACAACTTTTGTTGTTTTGCATCATCTTTGTTATATTTATTGCATATCATTTGCTCCTGCTTGTTTACGCTGCGAAAATGAGAAGCTAAATCAGTTGCAAGTATATTGCTCCTCAACAAATCCAAGGCTTTGCTGTAGTCGTCACTATCCAAACTTCCAAATATATTGCAGCCTTCAGTGTTCAAAATACACATTGTTTGCGCAAGATGATGTCTCTATCAAAAAGAAAAAGAGGTAGGTCTATTTTTAATTTAAACTTTTAACTCAACATTATATATATATATATATATACAATATCCTATTTTACCTCCATAACAGAACCTTCTGAGCTATAAAGACTTGCTAATACAGTGCCAGACAGAGTTTGAAATGAGTTATTAGTTCCTCTATGATCTATGTCATGACACAAGCATGATACAAAAAACACCAGAGCCTGTAGAGGTGTCATATAATTTTCCTCAATAAGCTGCATATTTTTTATCAATAGATATGCAAAATGTGCCACAGAAAATGCATGTGTCCAATTGTGATAAGGTGCATCCCTGTAGCCTTTCTTGACGTACAATATAAACCTAAGAGAAACGTTTTTTACCAAGTTATATTTTTTTTCAACAAATAAATTATATATTTTTGCATTTTTAATATAATAATTTTAAAACCACAATCTCCACTTGATTCCTCTCGACCAATAGAACCAAACGCGATGTTATTGCGACAATTATGAAAGAAAAAAGGGATTCCCGATTCAGCCGACTTTCGGACCAATATTTTTCTCGCCTATTTCTTTACAGGGGATATTAAGAGAAAGAACAAGAGGATTTTTTGAGATCCCAACCATAGGATTCAAATTCCTTAGTTTCCAAATTTTCTTTCTTTCATAATTATCGCAATAACATCGCGTTTGGCTCTATTGGTCGAGAGAAATCAAGTGGAGATTGTGGTTTTAAAATTAAAAGAGCTGACTTAAAAAGTATTCTCATTATAATAATTTTATATATTATATGAAATTATATTAAATTATATATTATATAAAATTATATAGAATTTTTTATAATATATAAAATTATTTATATTATAATATAAATAATTTTATATAATAATATTATATATTTTATATCAATACCTTGCAAGTGTCGACATTTTAATTCTCCAATACTTAAGGAAAGATAAATCTGTGAACATTTTAATGGTATAGCAAGGCATATGTTTGTAAGGTACACTTCTAGGACTAAAGTGGAATTTATTAAAATCTTTAATATTGTGGTCATCTCCACAATTTAATAATGCTTGCACAGCAGATTCTTCCACCTAGAAATAAATTTTCTACTATAAATGCATAATATATTCTATGTATACAATATTCCTAGATATATTATCCTATACATCCTATAATATTCAAGTTTTAAATATATTATAATAAATCCTTTTACCTTCATGTGATACATCATTATCTCGTTGCTAAGCTTATTTCGAGCTTGAGCATCCTGCATCTTTTTATAAACAATACTATGCATTATTGATATGCCACAATAGATGCTAAATGCTGTCGCGATCTGTTCATCAAAAGCATCAAAATATAAACCATTTATTTTATTACACATTTGAGCCACTCCTGAAAAAATATATGAACATCTCATATAATACTTATAATATTTTCGTACTTTTATTTAACATTTTTCTATTTTAATTTGCAACACTTTTACGCAACAAATTTAATTTACCAACAATGCCTTTCTCATCCTGTATTGGAAAGCACAAGATATTTCTGGTCTTAAATCCTGTTGCCTCATCAATACCACGATAAAAGAGAGGATGATTATAAGCGTCTCGGATATTGAGTAATTTACCAGTAGTTGCAACATGACCAGCTATACCTTGTCCGATAGGAATTCTCATTTCATTTACAGTCTAGAAAACAAATTATATTCATAACATATTGATATCTTCTTAAACATTGTGTATGAAACTGACTATGCCTACTTCATTTGTGGAAATACCATCAAATACTTTTGCAACCAAATCCTGTTGATCGGGATCCAAAAGAAATAGAGAACATCTTTCTGCATTTGTTAATTTTCTGACTTCTGCCATAATCTCACGCAAGAGATCAGGGAAATCTCCTATAAATTTAAAATAAAAATTTAAAGTGATACAAAATATATAGCAGATTATTTAGAAAATTGATATATATTTAGGAAATTGATTATTATACCTAAATGTGTGAAGAGCTTCCTAGAAACAGCCAATAAATTTTGACATTGTTGTTTCACGCGAGTCTCTTCATAACAACGTAACGAACTAAGCAAATATCCGAGACAAAATCTGCAAAATTAAATTTTTAATTAAATATTTTTATTAACAATTGCAATGTATTATAAATTCTTTGTGCAATACCTAAAGCATTCTTGAACTATTTCTGTACAAGCATGTCTAGCTTCATCTCCATCCGCATAATCTACCAGGCACACAAGCAAAACTGTATAATGTTTAAAAGGATGTTGAATAGGAATTGTTAAAAGAGACTGTGATGTTGCATCTGTTATTCTATTAATATATCTCAACAACTCTTCATCAAGTTTTGCAACATTCAGAACTAATGATGTCTTATTTATCACAGCCTCATACAAAACGTTGTTTGGTATCTGTAAAACAAATTTTTTTCTCCTTCAAAAAATATATTATTAAAAATATTAATTTTAAAAATAACATAAAAGTTGTTTTGATATCAAAATATGAAATAATTTAAAAGAATATTTATTTTTACACATTTCAATATTAAAATTGTAATAAAAAATTGATATATTATTTTATCAAAAATATATTCAATATATTTATAACGACTGACTGATGACTGGATGAACAATGAAATATGGCAATAATACATCAATTATTAATGGAAAGAAAATATTTTCCTCTCTCTTCAATATATTTCTATGATTGCTTGATTAAAATTATTTTAATATTCAATATCCTTTAATTTTGTAGAAATTATTTTTCGCAGAACAGAAACTTACAAGAAATCTCAATTCCCTGTCCAGAATTTCTTCGCCAATCACATGAATAACCATTTCTTCAGATTCCACCAGGATTGATATGAGAAAGACCAATTTCGCATTTGTTGCATTTTGCACCTAAAAGAAAATAAAATTTAAATTAATAAAAGATATCCATTGAAAAAAATTATTAACTTGATCTTTTAACTAAATTACTATTTTGTTATTAAATGAATATATTAATATTTAAGGGCTGATTTTCCTAACTTCTCGGTAAGTTTTATCTGACAGGTAGCATATTTTCGTCTCTTTTCATATAAGTTCTAAAAAAAGAGACAAAGATAAGCCCCTAAGGGCCGGTTGTTCGAACTCTTGATAAGTATTTTACCCGATAAGTAGCTTATCTTTGTCTCTTTTTTTAGAACTTATCTGAAAAGAGACGAAAATATGCTACTTACTATCAGGTAAAACTTATCGAGAAGTTGAAAAAATCGGCCCTAAGTCAAATACAAATTTTATTAGATTTAATACATTATATTGAATTTGAATATTTTTATATGTTCAATTAATAAAAAATTATATGGTTAAAAGGTTTAGTCTGTGGTCAAGTTAACAATTTTTCAGTGTAGAAATAATTATAGAAAAAATTATGTAAAAATTATATTACAAATTCAATTGTAATATTAAAAAAAAAATGAGCCAATTCTGTCATATTTGACAGATCGTCTAGCAGACGACTAGGATCAAGTTAACAATTTCTTTTTCAGTGTAGAAATAATTATAGAAAAACTATGTAAAAATTATATTACAAATTTAATTGCATATATTGTAAAAAAATTAGCCAGTTCTGTCATATTTGACAGATCGTCTAGCAGACGACTAATCATTCATGAAACGTCACTATTGGTCGATCAGCGCGAAAATTCGTATCATGCCGATCATTCAAAGATCGCTCATCCTGACGCAAAATTACAACATACAAGACACGATTCTAAACATACAATACACACGTACGTATCTGTTTAGCCGTCGTTGAACCTCCGTGTATGGCAGATCGCAGAGTTCCTCGATCAGCGGGAGGATCCTGGCCGGATCGACGCTCGGGTTAATGCTCATCTCGAAGGATCGGATCAGCTGATCGTGTCCGCATTCGAAATCCTCCCGTGATCATTTCAAAAGGGAACACGACAGGCCGGAACGACGACGAAACGGTCTCAGGATGCTGATGATCTCGCCATGATCTTCCGCGTGAGTTAACATTAATCGATATCGGCTTCTGCGAAGTTAATTATTAAATATATATATGCACAGCTGATCGCGAATTTGACGCGTAACGTCACACTGCGTTTTTTTTCGTAAAGCGGAGAGCACACACTCTTGCATAGGGCCGGTTGTTCCAACTCTTGGTAAGTTTTACCCGACAAATAGCATATCTTTGTATCTTTTTTTAGAATTTATCTGAAAAGAGATGATAATATGCTACCTATCAGGTAAAACTTACCGAGAAGTTGGAAAAATCGACCCATAAGCATATGCATAAGAAATTCGATTGGTTGAATTTCTTATGCATACGTTTATAGACCAATCAAGATTATTATGCTTACGCTTATGCGCCTATGCAAAAGTATGTGCTCCCCGTTTAACCCGCGTGTCTGTTATTTTGACAAACAGAAATCGCGCGCGCGATTAATCGGAAGAGATATTCATTCATTTATTTTTTTTTTAGTTAAAAATAAATTTAGGTCTGTTCAAAAAGCGAACTTTCTTTTCTGATTCGCGGCTAAATCTAGGGACATCTAGGGAGAAGGAACTGTCATAAAAATTGGAGTTGTTAGATTGGCGACACTTTTGAACTGTGTTGTCAAACAGTTCTCGTTGAATTGTTGACGATTTCAGCGGAAATTATATTTTTTCTTCAATAAATCATATGCCGGGGTTAAAATTGTGAATAAATTCATTATTTTGGTGAGAAAAGAGATATTAATATGATATCAAAATGAAATATAATTTCACAAAATTAACATATTGTTTATTATAATATATTCATATTTATAATGTTATTTAACAATACAACTTTTTGTATCTAGTACTCAGTGTGGGATAATTAATAACAAAATATAGTATATATTTCTGTAATTGTAAAATAATGAAGACATGAGGTAACGTCATAAAGATGATCTAATTTGGAGCTCTCTTGTAAATAATTAATAATTTGTGGGAACAATTTGGTGAATTGTACATTTTGTAAGAATGAATGGAGAGGCAGAGTATAATGTTGCCTCTAGGTATAGGACAGTTAGAAAACATCTGGATAATTTGGGATACAAACAAGCACTGTCACTGGATGCTTTACCTCTGATAGAAACTTTACTGGCTGATCTTGTGCAGACTACAGATAGTCTGAAACATTTCAAGGCAATCGCTCAGCAGAATATTGAGGTACGCTGAAACAAAGTAATATTTTCTCTACAAGAATGTTCAAAGTCTCTTTTAAATTTGCGAGATGAAACAACAGTTGAATGCATGTAGAGTCTTATTGTCTAACTTCAAGGATTAATCTTGTGAGCAACTTCAAATAATGAATCAGTTTTAATGATAAAAACAAATCCATATATAATCTAATGCATCGAATGGTGTGCGCAGGAACATAGTCAGTTGCAATTGACAGTTGATCCCTACAAATGTGAGAATGCAAGATTAGTGCAAGAATGTAATCAGCTTCACTCGGATCTGATAGAAACTAAAGAGGCACATCAGAAACAAATCAAGGATTTTAAGAAGCAGATACATAAGTTAGAATATGAATGCAATGATTTGCAATTGGCATCTTCGCGTAACATTCATAAGATAAAAGAGCTGGAGACAGAGTCAGCTGCCAAATCTAAGAAGATATTAGAACTTCAAGGCAAATGTTTAAAGCCAACTATTCTTAATGTGGGATTTTGTAAGTTTTTATGATTTTATTAATTTTTGTATAAATATCAAAATATACAACACACATTAACTGATTTTTAAATGATAATGTACTTATATTATTTTTCCAGCTGCTAAGAAGCGTCCCTGTTTTCCTCTTAGAAGACCTGTCTTAGAAGCTGAGCCAATGCCAAGGGCAAAGAGCAGTAGCTCACTGCCAAAATTAAGCAGCGTCGAGCCCAAGATAATAGATATAGTAAGCATGGCAGATCACAAGCTGAACTGTTTGAATCAGGAGGTAACAAAATTAAGAGGGGAGCTTTTATTGCAAACAGATACTATAGAGACTCTTGAAAAACAGGTATATTGAGCACCAATATTTATGCATTCAATTCTTGAGCATTTCTTCTAGGAAAAAAAAATGGAAAATCTTATGTACACTAATAAAGTCATTTATATCCAGCATGCTAGGCATCATTGATGCATAGTGATAATATCTGCAAGTTTTGCTTGTTAACACATTTTTTATAGAATAAAATATCTTTTACAGTTAGCTACAAAAGAAAAAGAAATAATTCGACTGAGAAAGATGTTGGAAGGCGGACGTTCCTATGCCGCAGTTAGCAAAGATTGCACTTGTTACAGGAAAATAGAAAAGAAAATTGGGGCTGCTCATGATGCAGAAATTAGTGAAGTGAGGGTTCTTCAACATGCCAAACTAGAATTGGAACAACAATTAAAAGGTAAGCAACTTAATTAAAGTATATAAATTTTTACAGAACTTTTTTTATTGCACCAATCAAAAACAACCAACACATATTTTATACTATTACCTTTGATGCAGAATCTCTAAGTAAACAGCACGACGCCATGTCCCAGGCGATGAAGCTAGCAAAACGAAATGAGGAATTGGAAAAAGAATTGAGAGATATAGATCACGTTGCGTTAGCTGTACAGGCTGATTGCAATTCTGCGGTTAAAGATAATAATATAAGAGTTTGTAGACTTCAGGTAATTACGAATTACTCTTATATGCATTTATGATAATTTTTTTTATTTCAACACTTGTATGTTTCTTTAGGAAAAGTTGGAGGATGCCATGACACAGGTACATGTCTTAGAACGCGAGTTAACTGTAGAACGTAGAGGGGTACAGGAGTTGAGAGCGGATCTAGAATCTTGCAAGCTTGAAAAACGTAATGTCCAACGTACTATAGAATCTATGTTAGATGAAAAGAAACAAATGTCTGATAGGATCAATCAACTTGCAATCATTGGTATGATATCACGAAATTGTTGGATATATTTTTTTTAACAGCCTGTATTATTTTTGCCGAGAGTAAAAGTTTAAAATTTATTGCAGAAAAAAGATTAAATGATGAGATGGAAAGACTGACTAAAGAAAACGAATACCAAACACAAGGTATTAATCAATTGCAATATATATTAATAAAATATTTAAGAAATAAATATACATATATAAAAAATAATTGAGGGAAAAATTGTATTATTAACAAGTTGACTTTTTATTTCACATAGTAATATTAAATATATTTTTATAGAAGAATTGTGTGTGTGTGAAAAATGCAATCATATTATGTGCAAATTTCATTATATAAGTAATTATATTAAAAAATCTTTTTTGTTTTAGCATTTAAGAACCATACAAATGAAATAGACCATCAGACAATAATTAGAGATAGAAAAGTTGTAAAAAATACAGACAATCTTGACATGCAAAGTCTGCTTGTTGAAGCGGAATTAAAAATTGTCTCTGTAAGTTAAAATAGTTTATTTAAATATTGACTAATCTTATTAAGATTGATATCAAAACAATAATTTTATTTTTTCCTGCTAGTTACAACAGTCGATCCAGCAATTGGAGGCAGAACGAGATCATTACAAGAAGGAATACATTAATTGTCGAAATGAGCAACGCAGAGCTTCTGACAAAGATGTAAGAATTAAATCTGAAAGAAATATCGCGCGAGTATGTGTTTATGAAAAATGTATATTAATTTCAATATTTTATAATGAATTGTATAGGTTGACTTACAGCCACTAATATGTGAATTGAAGTGTAAATTAAACAGCATGGAGCAAGCTTTAAGAGAAACACAACGGAAGAAAGAAGAATTTTATTATCAAAAATTGGATCTGGAAACACGATTGGAAACTTACAAGGATCAGCAGAAGCAGGCATATGTCCCTTGTAGATCGTGTAAACCTGTCCATACATGTATCTGTGTGTCTGATTCGTCGATGTCTGCTGAAAGCATCAGCGCAAGAAAGGTATTTACAGTGTTTTTAAGTAAATTATAAATATGTGCAGTTTTTATATGAAGTTTTAAAACATTTCACAAATTGAATATTGAATTTATATTTATATTATTATATATTATGTTTATTATTATATATTATTTATATATTATATTTATATTATTTATATTTATATATTTGAATATTATGCAGACAATGTTCGAACGTCTGGAACGAGAACGGAATACAGCCAGAGCAGATGTTGAACGACTCATAGATGAACGTGATGCATTGAGGGAGAGACTTAAGGTACGACGTAGAAACCGTTCATCTTTTTAAATTAAATTAAATTAATTAAATGTGCCATTTCTTATTAGCTTCTCTGAAATTTTTTAATTTAAGGCTCCTGGCCGACTATGTTGGAATTGTGATATCAGAGGCGAGAAAACACGCTAAAAATTCTTAGATGCCATTTTGAAGTAAAAAGATATATTTTGGGTATTTTAAAAATATTTTAAAAATGTGCTAAAGCCATCTGAAATAGTGTTTCATGGAAATATCTTTTTATTTGAAAGTGGCATGTAAAATTTTCAGCGTATGCTTTCTTTGACATCGCAATCTAACATGGCGAAGACTCAGGAGTCTTGATTTTAATTTCAATTTTAATTACTAAATTTTAAAAATCTTAACATTCTTATCCTATTTCATTAATTATAATAGAACAAATAATATAATATAATTAATAATGACTTTTTATTAATTTTCATTAATACTTTTCATATGTTGTGGATGGCTGGATAATACAGATGACGTCAGAAGCACATACGTGTGAACAGCTTCGTCTCAAGGAAAGTTTAGTCGAGGCGGAGACACGATTGAAACATATAGAGAAAGAACGACAAGATCTATTGGTCACTCAGGGTACGAAGAGGGCGACGATAAGCGGTCTCGAGGACCAATTGGGCGATGTGCAAGAGGAACTGCGCCGTACAAAACAAGAATTAATGGCACAACGGACGCAATATTTTCAACTACGGTAATATACATAATATCAAATCTTATTAAAAAAAAAGAAAATAAATAAAATGTAATCTCTTTATCTTTTAAATTTTCCATTGCAGAACGCTGCAAGATCAAACGGATCAAACACTTGGGGATGTTCAGGGTCAACTGTCGCAGACAGAATCGGAATTGAACAAAGCTATAGACCGCAATAAAAGTATGGAGCATCAACAAACGCAGTTGAATGATCAAATCAAGGAGCTGAAGCAAGAAATTAATAATCTGCGCGCGAACATGGCACTTTTGGATCAAGAGAAGGATCGATTATTGGTAAATAAGATAGTCTAACAAATTACATCGCTATTTTACAAAAATGATCATTTATAAAATCAATTTTTTTTGTAGATGGCATTGGACGAGAAAACGGAAAAGATCGCTGCATTGGAACGAGAATTGAAGTACAAAGATCAAGAAACAGACGGGATACAACTACAAATCCACGATTTACAGCATAAAAACGAGTAAGTACATTTGCGTTTATTTACGACGTCCAGTAGTTTCTAGAAAATAAAGTGGCACATGTCTCTCGAGAAACTCTAGGTCTTACAAATCACGATAAACCATAGTTAGTATATTTACAATGCTTAAGGTAACGGACAGAATAAATAAAGCTTTGTCAACGATTTGTAAGACGAGATAAAAAGCTACAGAATAATTAATTGTGTAATATATGTACAAAACTAAGTCTATCGTTATTCTTTCGACTGAACTGTTTCGAACGCGTTTTGTGCGCGTTCTTCGTTAGGTAAAAAATTAAAGTACCCTGCTAATCTTATAAAAAATAGATTTCGATTAAATTAGCTGGTTTTTTTCATATGTTTTCATATGCTTATGATCTGCAGAACAAAACATATAATAAATCTCAAAGCTAAATAATGGACAGTTTCTGAGCTCTAGCCAATCAAACAACTCGCATAATTTGAGTTTTTCGTGTTTGACTGGCTGTCTATCATTTAACTTTGAGTCTATTACATTTTTTGTTCAGCAGATTATAAGCTACAATATATGAGAAAACCAGATTTTACTAACAAATTCAATTTTATATAGGATTAGTGCGGAATTTTTAATTTTATATGAAACCCTAGATTGAATTCTAGACTGAACAAAAAATCTAATAGGCTCAAAACTAAATAATAAACAGTTACTAATTTACAATCAGTCAAATATGAAAAATTCGAGCTTTGCGAGCTGTTTGACTGACTGTAACTCAATAATTGTCCTCATTATTTAGCTTTGAAGCTACTATATAATTTTTCATTCAGCAGATATAAACTAACAATATATGAAGAAACCAGCTGATTAACCGAAATCCATTTCGCACAAGATTAATCTAGAGTACTTCAAGGAATCTGTAATAAATAATGAACGTTCCACAGAGTGCAGTCACTCAAATTATATCCTCGACTTGATGTTATCGTTGAGAAATTTCGCCAGGCTCACCGCGGGTGGCTGGCAGCCGTTCAGCGAGATCAGACTGTTGCTTTCCAGCTCCTCCAGGACCTCTTCCGAGCTCTCGACGATCCTCTTGTAACCTGGTCGGCACTCGCATCTGGCTCTAGGTCGCGACTTGCTCTCTCGCCACGGTCGAGAGTTCCTTGGCACTCTTTGCGCGACCAGCCACTCGCCCGCGGTGCACGGACCCTGGGTGTACAGTTTGTAGCAGGTTTTGTTGATCATCACCATGCCCGGCGCGCTCTCGCAGTCGTCGCCGTCGACCCCCACGCACTTGCCGGAGTCTCTCATGACGCTAGTGCATCCGCACACGCCGTTGTAACCGATCCCGTCCAGGGACGGTCTTACGTTGTAATCGTACAGCACTATCTGCCCGTTCGGACACGGTCCCCGGGTGCCGATCTTGTAGCAGGTCTTCTCCTGGGGAAAGTACAGCCTGCCGCGCTTGCACGGCACGGGAACGCAGGTCGACGAGTTGATCAGCATGTAACCGCCGTCGCAGGGTCCCCTAGTGTGCAGCCGGTAGCACTGTCCGTCCTTGTACAACACGTGTCCCGATTTGCACACGCATCTGGCTCGCACGACGCCCTCCTGCGTCGACGACTGGGCGTCCATAGTTACCACAAAGTGATGGCCTTGCGAGCATGGCCCGACTCCGCCTGAGAAATATATAATTGCCAAAGTTGAAAGGGATTTAGGACGAAATGTTATTAAAGTCGAATTCAACGAATGAGGAAAAACAGATTTATAATCAACATTTATTTTATTGAACTATGAACGCTGTCTCACCCAGTTGGTAGCACATTCCGCTCGGTTCGTGGTAGTGAGGTAATTGAGGATGGCAGCCGCACGTGCCACCCGGCAGAAACAACTCTCCGGGTTCCGTGCATGGACCCTTGGTGTAGTGCTCGTGGCAACCGCCGCCGTTACCCAGCCAGTGGTATCTGCCCAGTTCGCCGCTCGTCGAGCACGAGCAGGTCGCCAGATCGTCGTCGCCGGCGACGAGAAGCTCGCCGCGTGGACAAGGACCTCTGCTGAGTCGCGGATAGCACTTGCCATCCCTGGGCCAGTAAATCTCGTCCCGCTCGTCGCAGGGTTCCGGATCCCGACAGACTCCCCATCGTCGTTTTGAGCTGAAGAAAATTTATCATCAGTTACACTCAGTGATCATCTTTGAAGGATCCGACGGATTTAGAGCCGATTTTTTCTATTTCTTGGTAAGTTCTACCCGACAAGTAGCATCCCAGATAGCACGTTCCGTACGTCATTTTAACGTCGAATGACGTCATTAAACGTCAAAATGATGTCAGTTTGCTACTTGGAATATTTTCGTCTCTTTTTAAAGTTCTAGTGCTAAAAAAAAATGAAAATATGCTATCAGTCGAGTAAAACTTACCAAGAAGTTGGAATTTTACTCTTTAAAAGAAGAGGCTCTGCTCTTTTGTTGCTTACCCCAGTTTACTGGACACGTCGGGCACCGGTGCGAAGAACTGACCCTCGGAGCAGGACGCTCTCGTGAATATGGGATGGCACAGGGCGTCCCTAGGGGATTGCGCGGTTCCCGGGGGACATCGGCATTCCGCGATGGTGCCGCCGCCGTCTGCCGCGGGGCCCAGTTCCATGGTTTCCGGACACGGAGCACCGATCTGTAACGAGTTCAGAGTTCTTCGGATCAGTCTCTCGCGAAACGAAGATACATATTCGAAATGCAATCTTTCTTTTTTTAAGTAACGGAAATTATGTAGCTCCTACTTGGAATATCTTGTAGCATTTTCCATCGAGCGGCCAATATAACAACTGCCAGCCTCGTGGTTGCGCGGCGCAGGGGTTGCTCGAGGGTCGGCCCACGGCGGCGGCATAATCGCGGTTCTCGCGTTAGCCGCTGACAGAAGGCAGATGATGCATCCTAGGAGGATCCGCATCGCGCTGAAAGATGGCGCGGTCGAAGATTAATTCTTTTGACTTCGAGAGAAAAGGACATTGTCCTATGATCGGGATGATGCCAGAGTCGCGTGAAGAGGGAACAGAAAATGTAATACTGTTGATCAATTACAGTTCATGCTTCTGTCAATGAATGGGTACCCTAGATACTTCATAAAGCAACTGTAAAAACATGTGTAACGGAAATACAAAGAACCTTTATATTTGGAAACCGAAACTATGTGAACTACAGGAAGAATGTTTCATCAGTCCAGCAGCTGCTATGAAAAAGTTTAATTAATTAATATATCGAAAAGGCTTTGATATATAAATATGATATAAAAAGGGCTGATAAAAGTCAGGCATAAATAAATGTTATCACAAGTGTTTTGTATTTATAAAAAAAATTGTTACAGTCAAAAACACATGGTTGATACTTGGATACCCATTCACTGATGAAAGGATTCAAAACTGCGCATCGACAGAAGGATTAAAGTCAAACGATGACGTGACAACCACGTGAAGAGACACCGATTTTACCTGTCATCCTTAGCGCGCGTGGACGAATAATTTCACGCGCTTTACGTGGTGCTACGTGAAGAGCGTTTATTGCCAAGAGATGCGACGTTCAAAACGAGACTGCTATCGCGAAGTGCGTGTCAATGCGTGCTTGCGTGCATGCGCTGGAAGTTGGAAGAGCAGGACAAAATGACCATACTTTCACTGTTTCACTATGGCAATGGCATTGTCCCTGATGGCGGCAGGGTTTAGGATGACGACACGTGTGCATGGAATAAGAATAATGTGTCGCGCATAATAGAAATGCTCCCCATGTCGCGAGAAGCAAAGAGGCCTTTTCTCTTTTTTTCCTCTTTCTTTTTTGTCTGCTGTCTCGCGATGACTTTGATAGATTCGAGGAGTCTCGATGAGGCACCAAAAGCCAGCCACGATTTTCGCAAATCTTCGATGACCAGTCTCACTAGATATTTTCTTTGAATTATTGATATATATGATATATCTTGTGCTAATCTTATGTAAAATGGATCTTAAATCGGCTGTTTTTTAATATTTATATTGTAGCTTATGAATAAAAGATGTAATAGCCAGTTATAGCCAGATGTTTGACTGGATGTAATTCAATAATTATTCATTATTTAGCTTTGAGCCTATTAAATTTTTCTTCAGTAAGTCATAAGCTACAACATACGAGAAAAATTGATTTTATCAAGATTCAATTTTAGGATTAATGCGGGGTTTTTGAACCTATATGAAATCCTAGATGAAATTGAATCTCGGTAAAATCAGCTGGTTTTTTAATATATTGTAGCTTATAATTTGCTATTTACAACCAGTCAAACATAAAAAACTCGAGTTCTGCAAGCTGTTTAACTGGCTGCAGTCCAATAACTGTCTATTACTTTGCTTTTAAGCTATTTTTCATCTTTTGTTCAACAGATCATAAGCTACAACATATGAAAAACCAGCTGATTTAATTGAAATCCATTTTATATAAGATTAGTGTGGATATTATTTTTATATCAATATAATTTATATATAAAATTTCTTTATAAATTGATGCTAAATTACGTATAATATTTGCTGTTTAATTTTTATAATTGATATTGCTCGCTCAGAAAGGAATGCGATGGCATTTATATTAATTTACTTTCCTCTCTCCCTTTTTTAAAAATTGAGGAAGTAATTAAACAGCGCGAGATCTTGTCAAATGCTGTTTCTAATGGAGCTTTCTTCTTGCAACTTTCCACCAACTGTCGAGAATTTATCCCTTCACGTCCCAGATAGGAACAATAATTATTAACATTATTTTGACAGCAAAATAATGTATTTTGACCCAAATTGATGTCAAAATGACTACTTTTTCCGGGCTTATGACGTTTCGTTGATCGTCATCGTGATTCATCCGGATGACATGCCTCGAAAATAATCATTAACGCGTTAATTAAGATAAGACAGCGTGATGCAACATGTAGCTTAACTTTCCCGATAATTTTTCCCACATTCGACAAATGATTTTCCGTTGACGGAAGGTAACTCCTGGAAGTGATCGCGCGTTACCGCATTCCGGCTCTCGTAACGCGGCTTGTTTACTTACTCTCTACACGCGGAAAGAAATATTACCATTTTTCCCATTAACGCCTCGCGTCGCTGAATCGGTTTAACAGTCGAGCGTGAACAAAAGGCGCGAGATAGTTATCCGTGACGTTCACACTCCCTCGCCCGTATACAAGATCGATGTTGCTTGTAGTAAGTGCGAACGCGACGTGCTCGTTGCACAATCGTCTAATTAACGATCAAGGGGCGAGTTACGTCAGAACTTTCTCGCTCGGGTATATATAGGATTTCGATCCGCGCGCAGGAGACAAACAGCGAAATTAATCGCTAATTATATCGATTTTTCCAAAAATGTAGGAAACGTTACCCAGGTAGCAAGCGTACGTCATTTTGACGTCAAAGTGACGTCAATTTTAATTTTATTTAATTCATAGAGTAAAATTATAAATTAGATATATAAATAAAATTCTTTATTATACTTATAATTTAATTCGGAATTTTTATTTGATTTATATATTTAATTTAAACAGACTATTTCAGAGAATTCGCAAATAGACGACGCGTTCCGTCCACTTATATAAATATGATATAAATCAAATTAAAATTATGAATTAAATTATGAGTAAAATGAAGAATTTTATTTATATATTATATTTAATTTATAATTTTATTGTGAATTAAATAAAATTAAATATATGAAATTAAAAATATATTTACAAAAATAAATTAAATTAAATATGTAAAATCCTTCTGTGATAAATCTTGAGAAGGCAAATGCCAGAAATTCTCTCTCGATCGAAAGCCATCAATTGCCATCATACGAATTCCTGTTATCCGACGTGTCCTTATTACAGCCTACCTCGCGGCGATGACATTCGATATATAAGGTATGCCGATAACTTATGCAACGTCGGGGTGTATTGCATAATTTTTATTTATCCTTTTTAATGCGCCAATTAATTCGGCAAAAGTTGGCTGAATTTAATTGGTGCACTAAAAAAAGGATATAAATCAAAATTGTTCGCCTATGATACAATAAAGAGAAATTTCTAATAATAATTTTAATGAAACATTTTTATCAAATATATATATATTTGAGATAAAAATGTCTCGTTAAATTATTTTTATATAATGTATAAAATAAATAAAAATCTGTATTTTTTTCATCTCATACATATACTTTGTTTTTAATGAAAATCTCTCATTAGATTATTATGAATTTTTAAATGATAATATATATACGTATATATATTATTGTAAAAAAAATCGTAATAATCTAATAAGATATTTTCATACAAAAAATATATATGTGAGACGAGAAAATAGATTTATCGTAAAAATATGGTAAAAAAATTTGTAGTAATCTAATAAGATATTTTTATCAAAAATATCGCGAATTTTATAAAATTTTGTGGGAATTAGAATTAGAACGCCATAAAAATTTAAATGCCACAAACTGATGGAAGCTACTTTTATATAGTAGATGTTATTATATGTATGCGGTTACTTTATATAAAACTTTCCAGATACAATTTCGCGCTTCTTTGTGGAACACACACAGATCGTAATATCCTTTTTTCCAGGACCCGGCGACATTTGTGCGACGCGTTATTGCAATTATATTTATTTTTCCGTGATTTTATACTTTCTTTGCCGGAGATGCACTTTCTCCGTCTTCCGTGTCGTTAAATTGTAATAACCAGTTATTACCCGAGTCACTCGTCTCATACACGCATGTCGTACACGCGTTGTAAGGAAACGAATCCGCGAGGAATTTTCTATACGCGGTACTTCTAATCGCGCTGTCTCATTAATAAAGTCGCGCTTATATAATCAAGACTCGGTGTAACGCATTGGCGGGGTGGATTTACATTCCAATGAAAAAAAAGAAAGTGCTAATATATCGTAATCGATCTGCGAAATCGCGCAATACAAACAACGCAAAATCACGTAACTTTCGTGTTTTTATTTTTTATTTATTTATTTTTTTATTTTTGCTTAACGGAGCTTGACGATTTGATTAATTTTCCTCTAACATATTCTGTATCAACACTTCTGTCGACAATGTTCCTTTATAATTTATTCTGAAATTCATGGTAATCAACAAAATATTGCAAGAATTTTATAAGAGTTTTTCTGATTAATATTTACCACTATAAAAATATTAATGTCTACTACAATAAGATATAAATTAGTTTGATTAATTTTGTTAAAATATATAGTAACATTTCATTGATTTTAAAATATTTTAAAAATTATATTAAAAATGATTCTTATGATTTCTTAAGTCTTTTAAATAGATGCCAAAAAAGTGATAAACATATAAAATATTTTATATAAATTTTACAATAGAGCATTTGTCAATCCAGCTTAATTGTTTATGATAATGTTTATACAGCTTGGTAATTTTCGACTTATTATTATCAAACATGATTTTGTAATGAATTTTTAAAATATAACGAAAAATTTTCTCTGTGTAGACATATTTCCTCGGAGATGTATTATATGTGATAAATAACATACTTTGATGACTCCGGAATGGAAGAGTAAAAGGTATGATGACATAAATGTTTTCCCTCGAATTATCAGAAAAAAACGAAGCAATGTGACATTCTTGAATCACGTGTAATAAAAATTTGAGGAAATTATAGAAATTATAGAAATAGTTAGAAAAATTAAGTATAAAGTAATATTATCTAATATTATCTATTTTGTCATTGCTTCAAAATTAATTTTTCTGTTAACAAATCGGTATTAATTGTGTTTTTTTCGACACGTTGCACTGCAATTTTTTATATTATCTGCTTCATTGAATATTTCTTTCCTATTATATTTCCGAATACAAAAGCTCCTTTGTATTTTGTATCGGTCAAAAATATTGACATGCACTTTTAAGTTGCTTTGGGTTTATTGACAGGAGAGTTTTTGAAGCGATGATAAAACATATTAAATGTCTATAATTTCAAATTTTTCCACAATGAAAAACTTTCAAGAATGCCTCCTCGTATCCTTTTGTATCTGATGATCTCTCGCAGATGGTGAAAGGAAGATATCAAATGCCGTTTTGTTTAACCTTTCGAGGGAAAATATTTATGCCATCATACCTTTTACTCTTCCATTCCGGAGTCATCAAAGTATGTTATTTATCACATATAATACATCTCCGAGGAAATATGTCTAGTTCCGTGAGAAAAACGTACCTCGACATCTTCATCTTCATCGTCGATGTATCACGTCACTGTTTCACAAATTATTTCTTCCCTCAACTCATCGCCAGGTCCACCGCATCCCATATCAGAAGCTCGAAGTTGAGTCTGATCGAGAGAGACAGAGATTGAGGTCTTATCGCCGCGGAAAGCTCAGCAAGACTGAGCTCGTCCCGGCTTCGAGGTTCCTACCTTAGGCCGCGATTGCCTAACTCGACCGAAGTCGGGAACCGAATCCGCCAACGGAATATGGACGGATAGATCGTTTGCTATTCGTAGAATCCTCAAAGGTGACTAATCACAGGTGCAATCCGGGAAAAACCAAATCCCTTTTCCTTTCCACCCCATATGTTTTCCCAAAACGTAACATTCAAGCCGGATCCTCTCTCGGTGAGGTGATCTCCAAAGTATCTTGCACTAATCTTGTGATAAATGGGGATTTCGATTGAATCAGCTGGTCTTTTTATATGTTGTATAGTTTATAGTGTATAAAAAAATTAATAACCAGTTATTAAAGCAAAATCACTCCGCACTAATCTTGTGTGATATGGATTTCGGTGAAATTAGCTGGTTTTTCATATATTGTAGCTTATGATTTATCTACTGAACAAAAATAACATAATGTGGGAGTTTGTTGAATCAGCTGGTCTTTTCATATGTTGTATAGCTTATATATAGTGTACAAAAAATTAATAATCAGTTATTACAGCAAAATCACTCCGCACTAATCTTGTGTGATATGGATTTCGGTGAAATCAGCTGGTTTTTATATATTGTAGCTTATGATTGACTGAACAAAAAATAGAGCAACCAGTTACTAAAGCAAAATCTTGTATGAAATGGATTTCGATTAAATCAGCTGGCTTTTTATATGTTGTAGCTTATAGCCTACTGAACAAAAAATATAACAACCAGTTACTAAAGCAAAATCTTGTGTGAAATGGATTTCTTTTAAATCAGCTGGTTTTTTATAGTTTGTAATGGTTTTCTTAATAAACAACTTTAAAAAAAAGTTTTTGTTTTGTTCAAAACAAATATATATATATATATATGTATATGTATATATAGAATGCTGACAGTACCATGGGTTACCAAGCGGTCACCTATGAATATACATATAATATTAAATACATATAATATTAAAAATAGTTTTTTACATATTAGATGTTTGTAAAAGTACTACTGTTAATTTTTATCCTTCTCCTTAATATATGACGGACCATTACGAAAAATTACAAGAATACGAAAAAATTATTTGCAAATCAATAATATAGTAATTTTTTCGTATTCTTGTAATTTTATTTTGTACGGGAAGATTCTTCAAATCTATTGACTATATTTGTCTCAGAAAAAAAATTTGTCATGTCATACATTATTTCATTGGATGAGGTAGTGTTTTGTGACAAAATATTTGTTGAGTCAGAATCTACTACATGCGTATTAGTAGCAGATAATGAATTTTCAAAGCTAGGTAATGTAGATGAATTGAAATTATCTTTCTCCTTGTACTGATTTACAGACATCTACTTTTGTCAGATCTGTGTTTTTAACTTATTAAAAATTCAATAATAATAAAAAAAATTAAAATTTTTAATAAGCTTTTCAATTTATCTCGTAAATAATATATATAAATCTCATTAAAACACAAAAAATATATGTATAAGAAACTCAAAGCTAAATAATAAACAGTTATTGATTTATAACCAGTCAGCTACAATATATTTAAAAAATCATCTGATTTAACTAAAATCTATTTTTACATAAGATTAGTGTGGGATACTTTATCGCTATGTGGAAATGAATTTTTTTAGACCTACGATAAATACAGTGGTAAATATTTGTTTTCTTTTTTTATGAATGTTTTCATCAGCAGTCTTCTTTATTGGATCAGCTGTTCAACGTCAGATCTGTTAGAAAGTTTGTTATATTTATATGACGATTGTGGTGTTTGATAATCTTTGATGTAGACTAACAATCAGTCTAGATATAGATATACGTTTTTTTTCTTTTTTATGAATGTTTTCATCAGCAGTCTTCTTTATTGGATCAGCTGTTCAACGTCAGATCTGTTAGAAAGTTTGTTATATTTATATGACGATTGTGGTGTTTGATAATCTTTGATGTAGACTCACAATCAGTCTAGATATAGATATACGTTTATTTCTCTCGCAATCGCGGTCGCATTTAAGAAAGAATTGCGTATGTCGCGTCTTGTATCCTGTTGGACATCCACAGAGTATGTATGTACATTTTTATTTCTTATGCAGATGCGGGGGAAGAAAAAAATCGATATCTCGTGCGTGGGATTTGGAAATCTTTAACGCGTAGATCGAATGAGATCATCTACGGAGTTTGATTCTATTTAATTCGAATTCATTGAATATTCACCTTTATATAGATTATTGCATCAATCGAATTAAAACTTAACCCAAGCAGCAAACTGACGCCATTAGAATATAGTATATTAAATAATTATAAATGATTATACATTTAATTATTATATATTTTAAAAATTTTTGATCATGAAAGAAATTATTATATTATTATAATATACACTAAATAATTATTAATAGTATATTAATGACATCATTAGGATCAATATAGTATATTAAATGATCATAAATGATTTATACATTTAATTATAATTATAATATATTTAACAAAATTTTTTTATCATGAAAGAAATTATTATACTATTATAATATACTAAATAATTATAAATGATATATTAATGACCATTAGGATCAATATAGTACATTAAATAATTATAAATGATAATGTACATTTAATTATAATATATTTAAAACAATTTTTAATTATGAAAGCAGTATATTATAGTATTATAATATATTAAATAATTATAAATAGTGTATTAATAACGTCATTTTGACGTTTACTGACAGTTTGCTCTACTTGGGAATAATTATTTGACGAAAATGTCAATTGCCAATTTCCTCGATGAAAAGAAAACCTGAAAAAGGTATCGAATTTATTTATTTACTTTTTTTACGCAATACTACTGTTTCCTCGGCAAGATTCTCCTTTGAAAAAAAAAAAGATTCACCGTTGCGACACTTTCACGCAACATCTTTATTACGCGAGGAGGACGACTTTCATCGTCGCTCGACCTCCCGAAACATCGTTGTCCATCAGCGGGCCGGTTTCTTGCTGGGTTTCTTCACGAATTGTTGCATAATTCCGTGGCATCGGACTCGAGAAGGCAAAATCCGGTAACGGGAAACGCATAATCGTGCGGCAATCATATCCAGTCTGACGTGAAAAGAGAAGACAGGAGCGAGACATTGTCACATTTCTCATAAAATTGTCGCGTTGCTTCGTTAACCTTCCTGGCATCTTAAATTGCCGTAGCCTTGAAAAATCACGAGACCGTCCCAAATTAAGTTTGATCGCGTCTGATAAGAAATATAATATAAAGACTCTTTTTATGTATATTTTTCTGGACATATAAAATAATTTTTTTTAGTAGGATTAATATAGTAGAATATTAAATAATTATAAATGATAGTATATTTAATTATACTGTAGTTAAAAATTGTTTTAATTATAAAAGCAATATTGATATATTATATATATATATATATATATATATATATATATATATATATATATATATATATATATTGACGTTAATTAGTTGTAGCCTCGAAAATCATGAGTTTAATAAGAAATAATTTTTTTAGAATATTCTTTTTATATAAAAATATTTCTCTATATATATAAAATATTTTTAAAAAATAAAATCGATACCTAGTATATATTACATTATTATGAATAATAGTACATTTAGTTATAACATATTTAAAAAATTTTTTATTATGAAAATAATATTGATACTGTTGAGATATTTTTTATTTTAGTGAACTGATTGTTAAAAAGAATCTGTAATACATTAATTTTTTTTAGAAGATTTATTTATTTAATTTTAATGTCTTTTGCGAGTTAAATAGGAATATTTAGAGATGAGAAGCAAATTTATTGAAATTTACACCGAACGGTCGCATTTTGAATAATTTTATGTGTTTCGGGAGATTCCTCACCTCACATATCATTCGTTCGTCTCTTCTCATATAAGTTTAGTTATACGAGGAGATGAGGATCGCGTGCAATGCCCTTTACCTATAACGGTAATGCTAAACCAAAGAGTGTCTCTTCGAAAGGGCGCGCCTCATCTTCTCGAGTTAACTATGAATAATAGAGATGACTCGAGCATATATTGAAACTTTTTATTCAGGCGTTCAAGAAGGTAAAAGTGTTATTTAGAAATTCGAAGAAAGTAAAATTATTATTTAGGAGTTCAAAAAAGTAAAATTTTAATAAAATTCTTAATCATTTTAATAAATTTATTATTTACTTTTTAATAAAATTATAAAGGATTTTATTTAAAAAATAATATATTTTAATAAACGTATTATTTATTTTTTATTCAAATTACAGAGAATTTTATTTTAATAAAAAACTTTATTATTTTAATAAATGTATTATTTATTTTTTATTCAAATTATAGAAAATTTTATTAAAAAAGTAATAATTTTATTAATAAATTTTACTAAAACCCTTTACAATTTGAATAAAAACAAAACGTTCTGCATCAATAAATAACATCTCCAAAATTAAAAAAAAATTTATAAACAATTCGCTAGTATTTAGTTCCTCAGAAAATTAAAGATGTTGATATTTATATCATATTAAAAAATCTTAAAGAGGCTAAAAGATTCATAAATTAATATAGCACTTTCAATCGTTGCGTTTCACTTTGATATTTCTTTCGCTTTCTTTAGGTTTTCTGAAAGGAAGCAGCTAGTACCGTTTGCTATATCAATACCGAAATGTAAAACGGTTCGGCTTTCGATGAGGCAATCGAGGACTTGAGAGGGATCCCGGACCCTTCTTATAGGACGATGCACTCTCTGACTCATACAGAGTGCTTCCACAAAGATTTCGTCGCTTTTGGTCAAAGCCGCACAAGTGCAGATTTTATTTGTCAGGCTAAACGAGTCCTCAAGATGCACTTAAATAGAGGATAAAAGCTGCGAGTCACCGCATTGTATATATATCATGCACACATATCTTATAGCTTTCACATCTTATGATTTCACAGCAAAAAGTACACATTGATCATCAGTATTTGGATCTAAAACAAAATTATTTCGTATTAATCTTGTGTGAAATGATTTGTGTGAAGGATTTCAATTAAATCAGTTGGTTTTTTTCATATGTTGTAGTTTATAAATAAAATATAAAATAACTAAATAATGGGTAATTATTGAGTTACATCAAATCAAACAATTCGCAGAACCCGAGTTTTTCATGTTTGACTGGTTGTAAATCAACTTTGAGCCTATTACAATTTTGTGTCAGATCATAACATAATAAAAAAAAACAGTTAAGTTTGTCGAAATTCAATTTTACCTATAGGATTTTATATAGGTTTCAAAACTCCGTAATAATCATATAGATGTATATTTAAGATTAAATCTTGGTAAAATCACCTGATTTTCTCATATATTGCAGCTTATGATCTGAACAAAAAAATGTAATAGGCTCAAAAATAGACAGTTATTGATTTACAATTACACTGTAAAAAAAATATGTAAAATTACATAAATAATAATTATAAAATTGCACGACAAATAATGAATATGTATAAACTTCCATTATTCATCATGTAATTTTACACTTATTATTTATGTAATTTTACATATTTTATTAGTGTAATTTTACATATTTTTATGTAACATATTACATATTTTTTATAGTATAATCAGATATGAAAAACTTAGATTGTCCGAGTTTTTTCTTTAGCTGTAACTAGCTGTTACACCTTTTCAGCGGATCATAAACTACAACATAAGAAAAGACCAGCTGACTTAACCGAAATCCACTTCACATAAGATGAATGCCGGGTTACTTTGACATATATTGAGCTTTGTAATTAAACGAGCTAATGTGAAGCTACGAAGAGCATTTCTCTGTCTGTACAAAGGAACATCTTTGCATATATTAAAAGAACGTGGAGCACTTGGTGCGAGATGCTTTCTACGGTACTTTTCCTTTTACGTTTGAATCGTAGCTGTAAACTTTCCTTCTTCAAACGACGATGCTAAAGAAAGAGAGAGTGAGAATGTGAACTTGAACACTCGAGAGAAGGATGGTCAATTATTATTAGACGACTGAATAATAATAATATTTAGAGTTCAATTGAATTACGGCGACTTTTATCGTTTGGAAAATTTTCTCTGCAGTTTATTTGAGAAATGCCGGAAATCTCTTCCGTGTCAGAAGGGGTATATGGAAGAAAAACTAGAAACTACACACTACCGGTATCGCGTTTATGGCGCGATAAATTTAATTTCATCGTCGGTTTCGTTCCTCGACGAAGAAGAGGGGCTCTGCGATGGAAGAGAAATTTGTATCTCGCGAGTGGAAATAGAGAAATCATTTCTTCGAGTATCTGCGCGGAGATGCATTCTTCTGTAACATCCGTGACATAATTTCCATCGTCATTATTATTAAGCGAGGTGATAATCCGCCTCGATGCGTGACGAATCGACGAACGTTTGCACGCGATCAAACTATGAGGGAACCAATTATGTATGTACGAATTCATAATATTATCTTTAGGAATGAAGATAATGAAGATGATGAGATAAATTTTCCAATTGTAACTTGAAGGAAATAGGTTTCATCTTATATAATTGATTTAATCCCTTCTGCATAGTTTTCATCAATTGGGTACCTGGGTACCAACTGTGATTTTGTTTTGCTCATTGCAATGCGACAATGTTTTCATAACATCGAACATTTATTTTTTCTTGTTATACAGGGTGTTAAAAAAAGGGTAAAATATTTTAAAAGAATTTAGTATCCCTAAAAACAAGTCGAAAAGTCTTAATAAACATGAGTCCGCAAATAAACCGTTTTTGAGATATTTTTAATTTAATTTTTTTTTGTCCAAGGGTTTGTTCTTTATTGCTGCACTGGTGAACTGGTGCAATAAATTAAAAGGTTTGTTCATTATTGCTGCACTGATGAGCTAATGCAATAAGTTAAAGTGAGACAAATATATTTTGTTTCACTCTAACTTACTGCAACAGTCTGCACTAGTTTACTAGTGCAACAATAAAGAACAAACCCAAAGTAAAGGGGCTTATTTTCTATTTCTGTACTAGCTGAACTGTGTATACAGATGTGCAATAAGTTAGAGGGAGACAAAGATACTTGTCTCATTCTAACTTATTGCACCGGTGTGCATTAATTTACCAGTGCAGTGATAAAAAACAAACCCAAAATATATTTGTCCCACTTTAACTTATTGGATTTGTTCTTTATTGTTGCACTAGTGAACTAGTGCAGATTGGTGCAGTAAGTTAGAGTGAAACAAAATATATTTGTCTCACTCTAACTTATTACACTAGTTTATCAGTGCAGCAATAAAAAATAAACCCATTGCACCAGTTTGCACTAGTTCACCAGTGCAGCAATAAAGGACAAACTCAAAGATTGTTGATTGTATTGCGTGATTGCGGAAAATTCGCGCGAAAAATGCTCTCCTCGATCGACGGAATTTGTTTTCACTTTCATACTCGGACCAGATCCGCTGGACCGCGGCTGCTGCTGAATAAGCCGGCAAGAAAAGACGAGAGAAAGTCGTCTGGATCCTTTTCGCGCCTGTCTTGTCTCGTGGAGGATTACGCAAGTGGCGCATAATATCAGCATGAAATGATCGATGATCCACTGACGGCTGTCCTGGACACTTTATAGAGGAGCTAAAACTCCGACAAACGATTTGCTGTGTTGGTGCCTATCGAAAGCTAGGAAATGATTGACTGTCAATAACGTTTTCCGCGATGAAAGCCAGTTATTCTTCCTGGTGAAGATTTCATCCAGGATGTTGTTCAATTTTATGTCATTTCATTCCACATAAATCGTATAAATTAAGATTCCATCGGTTTTGCTTTCAGCGCAATCTTCTTTCTCTAGTATAAACGATAATATTAAAATCTTATCACGTATAAGTGCTCTTTATTTCGAGAAAGAGTTGGGAAACGGTAGATGCCTAAATTAAATTTGTCCTTGTCCCCTTTCGCGAATTCATCTTGTGAAACAAACACGTGACTCGCATAAACACCTGGAGTCGAGTCAACATCGCGATAATAGAAGCCGATACTCCGACAAGGTCGAAGATATCGTTGAGTGAAAAAAATTGTATTTATTTGTGATAATCTTCTGCGTTTGTATGTATTTTTTTTCGTGCTCTGCAACGATTATTGATATTAATTATAGAATCTGCATCGATCAGAGCGCGGAACGGGAACGTCAGCTGAAGTCGCTGCAGTTGGAGATGGAGACGTTGCACCGGCAGTTCAAGGCCGCGTCGACGGACCGCGAGAACGCGATCCAGGAGAACCGAAAGCTGCAGGACGACCTCGCGGCGATGACCTGCGAGGTGCAGAACCTGCAACGCGAGCTGGATACCTCGCGTGCCGAGTGCCACGATCTCAAGAGGCAGCTCCAGACTTACGTCAGCGAGGTACGCCGGGCCGAAGAACTTCTCAATCGAAAGGTAGCAATTTTGATTAAATATTTATATAATTTCATGTTATCTATAATTATTCGATTTTAATATTAATTTTTTTATTTATTGAGCATACACATTTTAAATTCTTTTTAAAGTTCAGGAACGTGTTATTTTGGTTTGTTGATCATTTGGCTTATTTATTCGACTTTTAATTCTCTCTAAATTTTTGACTTTGTTGATTGTTTAAATTGCGGTTTATCTTGTTCTGTCAAAGTGAGCACTTCGTTCTATATTAAACGTGTTACAGGTAAGTTGTGTTATATTCGATCTTATACTACAGATTGACACCATGAACGCTAAGTTTTTCATTTTACATTAAATAAGAGATATTATTAATTTCAATATTATTTTTATAAACTAGACATATTATGTTGTTATTATTGTTAAAATTGTTTTTAACTTTCTTTGTAATTTAATTAATGTTTATAGCCTGAAGAGGACCCAATTTAGGGTCGCACGTCGTTTCTCTTTCAATAAAGATTCTTACACCTAGCCAATGTCGGTCAATAAAGTTTGTGTTTCCTTGGTTTTTAAAATTGGACTGGCAATCACATCTTACTTTTTATTTATATATATTTTGTATAAATTTGAATTTTCAACGGGCTATAAGAGCCATACGATTGAATATTTTTAGATATTTAGGTCATATATATTTATTTTAATTTAATTTGATTTCATTTATTATACATTTTTATGTAGCAAATATTCACTAATTTAAAAAAAATTATTCTTATTTTTTATCAATTTTTCTTATTGAATAAATAAATTAATATCTTTATCTCTTATACTTCTATACTCCTATGAACAGAAAATTATTTTTTCTACATTTTTTTGAGGAATTTCTAAATAAAAAAGTAGGAATTTTAATTAAATATTTATATCAGTCTTTATATTTATTTAAATTTAACTTAATTTCACTCATTATACATTTTTATTACAATATTCACTAATCAAAATAATAATTTTAAAGAAAATAACTATATTTATAAATAATCTGAATATTTAGATTCCTATTAACAAAACATTATTTTTTCTACATTTTTTATCATAATATTCATTATAAATTTTATTTATATTTATTTTATCAATAAATATTATAGATATAGTTTAGAAATATTTTCATTGCTAATAAATATTCACCTGGAACATTCCTTATCTTATTCGATCCTTTCAGGAGAACGAGAGAACGGAGATGCTGAACCATTTCCGCAGTCTTAGCTTAGAGGCGACAGTCTTGGAAAACAGTAACCACAGCTTAGAATCCGAGGCGGCAGAGGCTAAAGGTGCCCTTCAAAACGCGAGGCATCAGATAGCCGATCTGGAGCGTCAACTCGGCGACAGGGAGTGTTTGATAAAAGGCTACGAGACACAGGTATTTTTTTCTCATAGTAAATACAAGAAATCGTTGGTTTATCTATGATACCACTACGCTGATACAGCTGAAAATAAATAAATTACAGTCAAGGCCAATGAGAAATACGAACAATTCTTAAGCTAAGTACATATTAGATCTTCTCTTCGTGTATAATGATTTGATGAATTGTTTTCAGATAAGCAATCTAACGCAAAGCGTCGCCAGCATGGAAACGCAGCTGCGGCAGCAGATCGAACAGAGGCACCGAGCCGAGGCCGATTTATTAGCGGTCAGGGACCTATGCGTGAAGCTGGATCAACAGAAGGACACGCTTGTGGAGCAACTCGGCGACAAAAATACCATAAAAGAACATGTAAAACACTCATCTATATTTCTAATTTTTTTTACGCTTGCCAGTTGTTTGATTTCTCCCTGACGGCGCACTTTTTTTCCAACTTTCACGTGTAGTACGAGGCGCAAGTGTCGAGGCTGAAAGCCGAGCAGAGTATCGTGCAGGAACAGATGAGCAGGGATCGGGTGACCGTGGAACGACTGGAGACTCTTTTAGATCAGGCTAGGCAGGAGTCCATCAGCGCGCAGACGAAGAATCAGGAGCTGCAGAACGAAATCTGCAGATTGAAGCAGAAAATCTCCGAGCTTCAAAGTAAACTGTACGCGTCTCATTACACAGTAACACATTACATTCTGTAACAAATGGAACTACCTATTTTTCATTACATAATCTTGAAGCTTATCTCAAGAGCTTTCCAAAACATTATATTAAAGTATTTTTTCATTAAGTACTTTTTGAGTTGTAAGATTTGAAGTTAATAATTTTTTGACATAAAATGTAAAATCTATTTTAAAATAGATTTTATATATTAAATACTTTATTATAGTGTTTTGAAAAGCTCTTGAGATAAGCTACAAGAATATATAATAAAAAATGGGTAGTTCCATTAAAAAAAATGAAGGTGACCTTGACTATCCAAGGTCAAATCAATGGCACCATCTTATGTTCCCCTTCGAACTAAGCTTTTGTTTGAAACATTTTTTTCTCTCGTAGATCATCGGAATCCGCAGAGCTTAGGCAGTACCAGAATCAAGCGGCGGAGTACAGCAAACAGATCAGCGAGCTCCGTAGACAGGTGACGAATGAGAGGTTCGACCGTGCAAGGAAGGAGGAACAGAGTCGCAGGTACTTTAACGCAGAAAAGAGCCTTCTTGTATCATCTATTGTCTGATCGTTCCCGAATCTAGAAGCTCCGAAGAGTCCACGGTTCTCCAGAAACCCTTCCACCACCCGATCCCACCTTCTTCGGACACTAGACCTTCCACTGACGAGACTCCTACCGCCGCGTTCAGGTAGAATTGGCGACAACGATCGCCCCTTTAGAAAGTAGACCGCGATCGATCAGTTGCCAATTACGAATCCACCAGCAGGCAGACAGACTGGCTGAGGAAACCGTACACCGCGATCCCCAAACACACCTGTTGCGTTCGCGAGCCGGGTCAGGAGGTCGGCTCGAAGAGTCCCAGTTCGTCGTTCTCGCTCGACTGTCGATGTTCCACGAGGAAACGCGTTTCCCAAGTCTCCACGGACCTGGTCCCATGTCCCGGCAGGTCACCCTTGCGGCGCAAGTTTGACACGAATAAAAATTCGAATCCTCCTTAGTGCTCATAATAGTAGATGACGCGATTTTAAGGTCGAGACTTTTGTAAGGGCGGTGGGTTTTTTTTCGAGATCACTTTTGTGCATATTTGTAGGAGAAATATATGAAATTATATAATAATATGAAATTTTTATCATCTACAAAGATTCCATTTTTTTCTGGCGTGATGATAGACGTAGACAGATTTTTCAATGCGATTACATAATAATGAAATTTGCTTATTGTATCTGGTTTCTGGTGTCACACTAACATCTGTGTTGTTCTCTGCTTGTTTTTGCAGGTCGCTAAATTCAAGTCCGGACAGTTTCAATGTAGATTTAAATGTAAGTACTACATATATTTGATGTCTCTTGGTCCATAGATAATTGCAAAATGAATAAAGGATAAGATCGTCGATGGAGAAGTATGAAGACACTGCAAAAGAATTTGCGGATGCACGAAGAAAAATGCGTCATGACAATCGTGTGAATGTTAAACGCGCACGCGAATATATATATATATATATATATATATGCAGACACTTTAGAGTACCTGGAACCTGGAGTGTTCAAATTAATTATAGCAAGCCTTCATTAAAGGTTAAATACACGGCACCTTTAATCGGGTTTAATAACATCCGTAGTTGTAAGACTGGCCAATCACAGCCGTTCCATTCTTCAGGGGAATGGCTGTGATTGACCAGTTTTACAACTATAGATGTTATTAAACCTGATTAAGGGTGCCGTGTAAATGTACTCATAGATACAAAGCTTTCTATTTTCATTCTTCTGTGAGCTAAGAGAATCTTTCCAAAATGAGTCGAGTAAGCAAGACATGAAAAAAGTATTTTAAAAAAAAATGTTTGTACTTTTAAGAAGCTACATTGAATACTATGGTCTGATTTTAAAATATACTAAATTTTACAAAAAATAATGTACCTCAACATTATTCCTACTTAAGTTGCGAAGAGATTGTGCGATTAAAAATAATATTACAAAGGATCGAACAAGAAACATTATTTGTATGCGAAAGATAAGCAATGCATGTGCATGTAAAAATAAAACAAAAGATAAAGTATTATATGTCAATGATTTTAATGGTACTAGCAAGAGAAAAAAAGATTGTTATTCTAATATTATATTTGTACTTAAATTGTAAGAAAAATTTAATAAAAGCTTGAGCATTCTCAGGATCTTCGACAAAAATGTATTTATATATATAATGTATAATAAGAAGTAATATTATGAGATATTACATATTGAGATATATAAAACAAACATTGAAAAGAATGATTAAAAGAAAAGTGAGAAAAAGAAACAGAAAAGACGATATTACATACGATTTAAAAAATTTTAACCTGAATTTTTACATAAGAAATTTGGAATAAAAATGAACTACATCAAATAAATCTCACATAAATAAGAGATAAATGATAAGTGAAAGAACTGAGAATATCGCAAAGATGTATTCGACATGCATTTTTCAAAGAACAGTTAATTTCCACGAAAGCAAAGTAATTTAACTAAATATCTCTAGTGTCTTTTTCAAGAGTACAAATTTTGTATATTCCCAAATTTTATATTCTTAAGAGTTTTCATACACTCAATTCATATATCGTAATAAATTTGATACTTTCCACAATTTCGTCTAACCGAACCATATTATATATTTTATATGACTATTATTGTAATTAGATATTAAAAATAAGTGGCACGAGTGAAAAGTAGACGACACAGAATTGTTATATTTAAAATTGTTTT